AATTTCCCTTATCATAAAATTCAAATTTATACCCTAATGGGGGGATTTAAATTACGTGTAAGGGGAAAAAATATCTTAACTAACTTTTTCATTTAGTCATGAGACTTATCATACGAAAATAATTTTATCATGGTGCTAGTTTTAAGGAATGACAAATGTCTATGACCCATGTCTGAAAGGATTTATATCAAATGTTGAGCTATTAAGCTATTCACATTGTGTCAGGCTGGTTAATTCAATATCTATATATTTAAGACTTAGTGCCATAGCATCGAGCAGACTGCGGGACAACAACGCGAATATTGCTGATTTAAGTGATCAGAACAGACCAACAAAGGTGGCTGAAAACTTTTCTGAACTGTATGATAACGAGTGGACAGATGCTTTTGATGTACTTCAGGATGAACTTGGTGAAAAGGAAACCATAGATTTCCTTCTTATTACTTTGATGGTATGATAATTATATATATCTAAGAGCAAGACGTATTACACAAATTTCTCTGCAAGATCATATATTTTAAGAATTATATAAAGTCATTTATTAGAAAAATTGTTTTAGGTTATATTTAGTGTTCACATATTTTTTTTATACTTTATAATGTTAAAGGTACATTATGCCACAGAAAGGTTTTATTAGCTCGACTATTCGAAGAATATGAGAGCTATTGTAGTCGCCCCGGCGTCGGCGTCAGCGTCAGCGTCCGCGTCGGCGTCTGCGTTGGTTAAAGTTTTTTGTAAAGTCAAATATCTCAATTATTACTTGAGATATTCAATTGAAACTTACAATACTTATTTATAGTAACAAGGTACATCAGATTGACAAGTTGGATAACTCTGCCTACAATATTGACAGAATTATACCCCTTTTTAACTTAGAAATTTTGGTTAAAGTTTTTTGTAAAGTCAAATATCTCAATTATTACTTGAGATATTCAATTGAAACTTACAATACTTATTTATAGTAACAAGGTACATCAGATTGACAAGTTGGATAACTCTGCCTACAATATTGACAGAATTATGCCCCTTTTTAACTTACAAATTTTGGTTAAAGTTTTTTGTGAAGTCAAATATCTCAATTATTGCTTGAGATATTCAATTGAAACTTACAATACTTATTTATAGTAACAAGGTACATCAGATTGACAAGTTGGATAACTCTGCCTACAATATTGACAGAATTATGCCCCTTTGGAACTTAGAAATTTTGGTTAAAGTTTTTTTGTAAAGTCAAATATCTCAATTATTGCTTGAGATATTCAATTGAAATGTAAAATACTTTTTTATAGTAACAATGTACATCAGTTTGCAAAATTGCATAACTCTGCCTGCAATATTTGCAGAATTATTTGCCCCTTTGAAACTTAGAAATTTTGGTTGAGGTTATAGGTCTTCAAAGATATTTACTTGAAACTTTACACATGCACTTAGGGTCTAATTGGAGGGTCATAATTGTATGTCACTGACCAAGTTCCATAACTCTATCTTGCATTAAGGCTGATTCATATCCCCTTTTCTACTAAGTATCTTGGTTAATGTTTACATGCAAGTTTTACATATCTCAATAACTATTACAGATATTTATTTAAAACTTCACATATGCATTTAGGGTCATAATTGTAGGTCACTGACAAAGATCCAAAATTCTATCTTGCATTTAGGCTGATTTTTCTCCCCTTTTTCAACTTAGAAATTCATGGTAAAGTTTTGTTTGTAAGCTGCTATCTCAATAACTACTGAAGGGTTTGTGCCTTTTTTGGGACAATTTTATGCATTCATAATAATAAAGCAGTGATTTACTTCTTAATAACAAGCCTTTGTACCTTGTCTGTCAAATTTATGTAATCTGATAGGTAATTAGTATTATTATACTCAATAAAACACCCTTGTGACATTACCTTCCGAATAGTCAAGCCAATACTGTATAATTAGACTCTCTGTAAGGCCTATAACATGAATTTATAAAAAAAAATTTGCCCTTTTGTGAACTTAAAAAAATTAACATTATCAAGGCTCTTTTACTATCAAGCACTAATAATAGTCGAGCGTGCTGTCCTACAGACAGCTCTTGTTTTATATTTCAAAAGCATCTTAAGTTCCTCATTGGCCAATTATCTGACCTTTCGTTTGCTTTTGCTACAATTTGACAATAGTGAGAAATTATTTGTCATGAAAGTAGCACACTTAGTGTACACTTTTAATATTTTGACTCCCATGCAAAATATAAAATCACTATAATAGTACTTATTGTCAAAAATAAATTAGTGTGAAAGATGGATCGGGTTATAGGCAAAAGAGTAACATTTTGGAAGTCATCTAAGGTCACTAGAATTGAAAATCTTTAAGAAACAACAATGGAATGTATTTCTAGGGCATGCTGAACCATTCAACTATGATATAAACGTCATAAAACGTATGTCTGCCTGTACTAAAATAAGAAAATGTGTCTGAGGCACAGTGTGTCTTTAACTCAACGCTTGTTTTAAATAATGATATGTAAATCATTCCGTAGATTACTTTGATAAAGACAATTAGTAATGCACATTCTAAATATGAACTGTATTATTTATCGTATTCAAATAAGAAAAGCAATTTGAGTTGGATCAAAAAAATCATCTCTATTACAGGAATCATTTAAAATATGCCAAGAACTTTCCTCCGAAAATTATCTTGAAAAAGTGCAACACTGCATTGAACTCCCAGTACAGGTAACGTCTTAGGAATATTATTATTTGAAAGTTGATATTGGGGATAGAATTGTTTGAAACCTTCATAATCATATTCTACTTTCACTTGTAATTATAAAAGTGTTACAAAATGTATAAACATACAAATAAGCAACATTTGGGTTTAATAATAGTCTGTCTTTCTGGTAAGTGGGACACCTTTTGAAATTGTTGTATAGTCAAGAAGTAAATCTCCTATCCCGTCGACGATATGTACATGTATTATGTATATACACCATTTCAGAGGGTACCTTCGGTAAGCACACAATGTGCACTTCCAGACGAGTTGATTCAGCAAATCAAAGAGTTCCGGAAGTCACGTGCACCATACGTCATCAACGATGTTATAAAGGTGATAAGTTTATTTAGGTTGATAACTTGTAAATATTAAAAAGGTAAAGAAATGACAAGGCAATTATTTTTGGAATACCAAACTTGTGTATATGTTGAACAACAACGATTATCTAAGTGTGTAGGGAAGAGTTGTGTGTGGGGGTCGGTCATACCCTCTAATAACTTTAAAAGCATTAAGTGCTGTACCAAGAAAAGTTTTTGTATCATTTTTGAACTTGATTCTATATGTATTCGAATATCTGTAAATAGTGTTGTTGATTTTCGTGTATCATTTGAGTAGTATGACTTTGGAATTATCTGAATAAATGTAAAACGTGTGACAGATTTTCTCAGAAAATTAAGAAAAATATTTTGCGTTTTAGGAAGTATTAGACAAAGTACAATCCAAGTATGACAGTAAGGAAGAAGTACAGGCGTATAAACGCAAGTGTGTCGAGTTGTGCTGGTTAATGGTTGTACAGAATCCACCACTGATCCTATCAACAACCGCTCAACAACAATTTGATACCAATTTGTACAAGGACTATACCAAGCGGGGGAAGTATGTAGACTATGTGGTTTGGCCAGCCTTGTTGCTTCACGAAGGCGGTCCTCTCTTATCAAAAGGCGTAGCACAGGGTTGCAAAAAGCAGTCGTAGATGAAGATAATAAATATCTGATCCGCTCCTTTCTGTACAAGTAGGAGGCCCTGTTATATCAAAAGACTTTTGGCAAAGGATGCAATGACCAATTATAAACAATTTTTAATACCTCAACTATTTTGCATTGTATGTGTATGTTGTATATAATAAAAATCTTTTCACATAAGTAAGCAATATATATTAAGTAATCAGTTGAGTATAAAATAATTAATATGAAGCAATATTCACAATGTTTATTTGAAAACTCTTTTCATTTATGTAATCGAATCTAATTTGTATGTTTTTGCGCAAATATTTTTAGTAATGTTTTGTTTCTGAATTTAGCTGAATATTAAGAAAGAGATGTTTTTTTCTTACCGTTAAATGGTAGCTTTCATAATGTGGTATAATCCATTGTGTTTTCCACTTTAAAATGCGTAAAACAAAGTATTAATATAGTCAAGTTCTAACAAAAATACTGCTAATTTTACTTTTGATTTTTATGATTACTTTACTTTAATAACTTGCTAAGCAGGATTATCATTTATGTTCATTTTAATCATGTTTCGTTTGTTCTATATTTGAAAAAAATGTAATCTTTAAAATAAATTTGACTTGATTATTAACCTTATTGAGTTGACATTTCGTTATTTTTCAAGATGTTTGTATATCAAATATTAATTTTACAAGACATACTTAATTTAATCTTATATAAATGTTAAAGTTCTTCATTCAGTTTAACCCTTTCCCCCATGAGCATATTGTGAAAAATGGCCGTTTTCACTGAAAAGCCTCCTGTTACAAGTTCAAACTGCTATGAAACTATGAAAAATGCTTCAATACTAATCAAACTTGGCACAAATGATGACTGGAACATTGCCTTTGTAACGACATGCTCAGTCTTAAAATTCTTGTTACAATGGCAACGAGGGGACATCTCAAAATTGCCAAAAATCACTATTTTGCCTCGAGTTTTTCCATCAAAATTTATTTCAAAGTGCTGCAACTTCTCAATGGATTGAGATAGAGTCAAAGGCTTTTCAGTGTTGGTTACGCGTTACATTATGATCGACCTGGGGTCATTTTTAGCCTCTCACAAGTCCAAAATTTTCTTGGCGAAGTGGGGGACTCCGCCCCCTTCAAACCCCCTAACAGAAGGGGGCACATCCCCCTTCTGACAACCCCCTGATGTATCTTTTGGATTGGGGGCGGCGCCGAAAAAGTGCTCATTTTTTTTCGCAACATTTCTCAGACGAAAACATGTGTTTGGGGCCCAAATAGGACATTTTTCACTATTTGAGGCCTAAAAAGGGGGGGGGGGGGGGTCGAAAGTGCGTTGTTTTGCGTATATATGAGGTAAAGGGTTAAGACAACAAGAAGAAAGTATATAACCGCTTTCAAAGAGTAAAATCTCCGTGGTTTTGCGACGATTAAATACTCAGTTATGTTGTAGATTAACATTAGTGACGCTTGTTAATAGTGTTTGTTAACATGATCAATGATGATAAAATACTAGTACTAGTGTTGCATTCGGCTTGCCGCAAAACCCAAAAAAGATCTAAATATGTGACTATGCAAAGTCTTTTTTCCACATAATTGCGGTTCTGAACAAGGAAATCAGGGAATAAATATCATAATTAAAAGACGAATTTCAAAAGTAATTTCTTTTTATTTTATATCAATTAATACTTGTCAATCTAAATCCATATTTATTAATGAGGTCAGAAGAACAGGTGCTGGCCTCATATTTAAAATGGCTAACAAGAGCACCAATCATCGGCGAGTTCGTGAAGTACGATACGAGTAGCTTTAGTTAAACATTCCAACTAACTTTATCACTATAACAACAAATTAAATCATTCTACAAACAAGAACATCTCGAAACGGACACACGGACTTTTAAGATTTCTTTTGTTTGCAGAAATGAGAAAAAAAATTCTATTTCACTGAGACACTTCAAGAGTTTACATACTTGTATAAAACTTAATATATTACGTGTTTGAAAAAAATATTGTCCAACTTTGACCAATAGTAACACCGGCCACATACAGGTTCGCCAATATTCGATGGAAACGACCCTTTTTTAACTTCATTAACATTTTACAGAGACGGAGATGATTCATTGTTACCATCATCAATGCCCAAGTAAGTTGATTGTTTTTAGTATATTGAAAATAAATGTTCAAATTATTGTTAAGTATCATTTCAATAAACTGAGAACGCACAAACTACTTTTTTGTATTTTTGCATAGAGCCTTCTTACTACAACCGGCTAAATCTCTAGAGACATGCTTTAGAACCGTTCATTATCATTTCTGGAATTACAAGGTGAAAATTTGAAGTTAGCCAGCCGACAGTATTAGAGCCTGGCCAAACATGTGCAGGTTTGTCGGGCTCTTATTTTTCCCCTCATTTTGACGTGTTTTGACGGCGTTTTGCCCCCCTTTTTTGATGCCTCAAACAGTGAAAAAATGACTTATTTAGACCCCAAACACTGTTTTTCGTTTGAGAAATGTTGTTAAAAAGATTCATTGAGAAGTTGCAGCACTTTGAAAGTTTTGATGGAAAATAACAATACAAAATAGTGATTTTGGGCACTTTTAAGACGTCCTCCGATGTCATGGTATCAGGAAATTTACGATTGAGCATGCTGTTACAGAGGCTATGGTCTAGTCAACATTTGTGCCAAGTTTCATCAATACTGAAGCATTCTTCATAGTTTCATAGCAGTTTGAACTTGTAACAGGAGGTTTTTCAATGTAAACGGCCATTTTTCACAACATGTTCATGGGGTAAAAGGTTAAAAGTTCGTTTAAAAATCATGATTAATTTCCGTTGCTAATGATAAGTTAAACCGAATGACAATTTTAGACCCGGTGTAAAATTATCTTGGAGTCAGAGTAAGACTTTTTGATTGTTTTACAAATACATGTACATGCAAAATTTCAAAACCCACCTGTTGATAAAGTTGTCTGATATAAAAAAGTAATATTGTGAAAATCGAATCTCAAATTGGCATAAGTTTCAGCTTATCATTCTCTAACCATTCTCTAATCATTCTCTCAAGTATTCAATTTTGGCTTTATAAAGATTCAATGCATGATGAGATATAAATGCATTTTGAAATACATGTATTATCAAAACAAAAATCATATCCAAAAGCATAACTATGTAGATTAGAAACAGTGTTTTTATTATTGTTGTCTCCCTTTAACGTACTAATCAAAATAACATCCTGGTTTCGAAAGTTTAGAGTTGAATTGAGAACGAGAATCTTTTACCTTTTTCGTGGAAATGACGAGATTAAACGTGTGTGAAATGTATATTTTCCACATAGTGTAAATATAGAGTGTATCATAAAAGGTAAAAGCGGGTATTTATTATGTTGATTTGAACTATTTCATTTTTGTATATTTTGATTTAATAGCCTTAGTTTCGATATCGATATAGGTTTGTATAATACTACCGGGTTTATTTACTGATATACAATTAACGTATATTTTAACGAAGTTTGTACTATTAAATACAAATGTATATTACTTTCACGTTACACGAAGGTTTGTGAATAAATGTATTTGTAATTTGAATATGCATGTATTCATTGAACTCGTAACGATTATGACCATTTTAAACAACTGTATATATATACAGTTGGTATGGTACACACGTTGACAAACGCTATATATTTATATAACTGTATACACTACCCTTTAATCTGTTGCTTAACAGCTATTCATTCCGGTGTTATACAGCATTGCCAAGTTAAAAATGGGGAACATGATCCATAGTTTTCCAGGATTTCAATACATCACAAATAGCGACAGTGGACCCCCTCCCACTAAGAAAAGAAAGCTCGAAGATGGCAGTAGTGGTATCGGAGGCTCAATGTATGAAAAAGATTTGGAAATACATCATTTGCATTCGGAAATAAAACGGTTGGTGTCACGAGATTTATAACTGATAATTTAAACATCACTTGTATAACAGGTAGTGTTGTTTAAAAGTAGAAACAATTCATTCTTATTTCAGTGGTGATATATATTGAAAAAATGACTGAATAAAGATAACTTCCAAACTTTCAAAAATTATATGTTCAAAGTGTTAAATCTGCATTAAATAAATATGTAAACATATTTTCCTGTCGGCTTAAGAACCACTCAAGTCACTCTATTTTACAGGTTTACCTTACTGTTATAAGGTTTACTATCATGATTTGGCATTTGACCTGTTTTTCTGTCTTCAGCTTATAATATGGGAACCACTGGCCCTTTGTAGGTCATTCATATGTGTACATGTAAATATGACTAAATCAGCTTATATTTTATGAGGATCTCCATTGTAAGAGTAACAACAGAGGGCCCTTTAATTTTTGGTCCCTACAGCCTATATAATTTTGATTAAACTTAATTTTTATATTTTAGTTTAAAGGAATCGTGCGTGTGTATTGAAGATTATGAAGACATGAAACATAAATATCTAATAGAAAAGAATGCTAAGGATGACGCCTTACGAAGGTATTCATTATAAACATGTACATACATCAACCTAAAAATAGCCCTGTTTTGAAAACATGATGCGTCTTCTTTCAATGCATTGAAACGTATAAGTTTCTAGTCGATTTGTTGGTTGCTTGGTTAAAGTGGACTAAAAGCTTCGTTCCTTATTGTCATTTGATTCAAAACTGTCATAGTCTTATGACATAGTCATTAACTCATACCTTTATTATTTTATGTTATGCAAGATTGAGTGCCATCGCTTCGAGCAAATTACGGAATAACAATCCAAACATCGCTGATCTTAGTGATGCAAACAGACCTACAAAAATAGCCGAAAAGTTGTCAGAGTTATATGACAACCAATGGACAGACGCTTTCGGTGATCTGGAAAAAGGCATGAACGAAAGAGATATAATCCACTTTCTAAGGGACATCTTAATGGTTAAGTATCCAATGTTCTTTTAAATAGAAGTAAATATCTTATAAAACTTTTTCTTGATTGAACATACTGTAATTAAACATAAATATATGGATAATTTGAACAGTGTTGGCTAACGATGCTAGCATTTGGCAAACTGTTTTCTTCAATCTTGCCAACCTCAATTATCGTTCACTTAATTTACGTTTCCGAACGATATTTCCTTTTCGGCATAGCATTTAATAATAAAATATTAAATTATTTTAAGTGTATACAGTGTAGATTTAGAAAATGTTATTTGTAAGAAGTCATGTCTCTTATATACATTATTTTCAACAGAAATCCTACGCAGAATGTAAAGCAATTTCCTCTGATAATTACTTTGAGAAAGTTCAAAGATGTATAGAATGTCCACTACAGGTATGTTTTTACATTGTGCATAACAAAAATATTTAAGATCCATTTCATACAAATTATTAGATTAACGCTGCTGAATGGAGAAAATGTATATGTTAATGCAAAATAAAAAGAAATCCTTTGACTAGAGGAACAAAATATAATGGTACTTACGGTGTCCCTTCATTTAGTACATGACAGGTCGGATTGGCACATAGCAAATTAATTGATGAAAGTAGTAAACGGTATTTCTAATTGGGTGAGTCTACGGTTACACCACTTTCCTTTCCCTTATCGCTGCAGATAACTCCACTAGATATATTTTAATCCTTGTATATGAGGAAGCTATCGAGCTTGGCTATGAAAGGTCGATGGTTCTGCTTGGGATCCTGCTCTCGCCGAATAAATGCATGCGGTGGCATCACATGATATTGTTAACTATTTAAGTGAGAAATTCGCAATATTATTTCAACAGTGTTCCCTCCAAGCGAATGAAATTTGCTTTAACACTAAACATTTTAGTTCGCAGGGTCTGGGCAGTTGAAATCGGGATCAGTCCTTCCTGATTATTTGAAACAACAAATTAAGGAATTCAGAAAATTTCGTGCTGTGCATGTAGTCAATGATATCGAAAAGGTATGTTTAACAAAACCCTAGTTAAATTTATTAAGTTTTAGTTTTATATTGTAACAGAATAATGAAAATTTATTTGGGTCTGTGTACATACTGATCAAATTCTGTTTTGTTTGATCTTTGTTTGATTTTAAACTGCTACGTCTTGATACTTCACATCATATTGATTTATCTGAAACTCTATATATAATCATAGTTACCATAAAAAATTATAGAAGTTGCATTTCTTTATATGAAATATTTAAAATATTTCAAACCATTCATGTTACCACCAATGCATTTTCCTTTTTCTACGAAACAGGCAATAAAAGGAAAACTTAACACACATTCCAAAATGAGTGCAGGAGTCGATAGATATATCTCAAGCTGTGTTGAGATCACGTGGTTAATGGTGGTACAAGACCCTCCTCTTGTATTATCAACGTCGTCATCTTCAAAGTTTGATTCTAGAATATTCAGGGAATACACAAAGCGTGGACCTAATATCGATTACGTTGTCTGGCCAGCTCTTATTCTTCATGAAGGAGGTCCTCTGTTAGTGAAAGGGGTTGCTCAAGGATGTGTTCAACACCATCGATATCGATAACTTTAAAGATCGTCAGTTTGTTTTAATTAGATACATGTATGCCATTTATGTTGACATTCCATGAATATATTTTGTTCTTTGTGTTAACGAACGAACGAACGGACAAAGAAGAACGAACAAGCGAATGAATAACAAAAATAATGAATTGATAAATAAATGAATTTAAGTTCACAACAATCCGACAAAAGATTGAACAATTGCCGATTACATAATTATATTCATCTTACAAATTATAATAAAACAACACGTAATTAAGAAAATAAGTATAACAACTTATAAAATATGCTTTACATTTTGCATATTTGCATGATTTATAAGAACTACGAATGGTACAAATATAATGTTTACATTTTAGAAATTTAGACTCTAGTTTAGGTTGATCTCATGACCTTTATCAAATGATCTCTAGAACGTAAAATAGTGTTTTGTGCTGAATAACGAATACTTCAACAATGTACAACGAAAACGTCAGTGTTGTTATATTTTCTGTTTTTGTTTGTTTGTTTTGTTTGTTTGTTTTTTTGTTGTTTTTTTTTTTTTTGGGGGGGGGGCATTGGTTTCAGCATGTTAGTGTTGGTGAATGAATACCGCCAGCTTAAACCGGTGCTGCGGTGCGTGAGAAATGTTGCACTAAACACTTTCTCTCATAAAAAGACTCAATTAAACCTAGTATACAAGACATTTTGTTTTACCACTGTCTACTAGGGATCACCCTTTTTCTAGACTTTTTACATCATTATTGTATCCAAACATATTGTCCTTGCAATCTATCCCTTAAACGTTTTGCATACCGATGTTTAAGTGCAGATATTGTGAAGAGCATTTCTCATGTACATGTATTAAAATATGTTCTGCTTCAGCCGGTGCTAGGGGACGTGGAAGGAATTTTGCATTTACCACTGCCGCCAATGAACTTATTTAATTTATTTAAAACGAGCCTGTACATATTTCGTGTTGACCGACTTTTAAGGTTTCAATTTAAGTGTTTTTCGATCTTCCTATTTAGGCCTTTCAATTGATGGTTGGTGCCAATATTCCAACTTGAATACTGTTAAATCTCCCTTAAGATATGTTTTTAAATTTGTATTTTGACGTTTGATCTGTATTATGCAGGCTTCTCCTCAACCTCTGTTCCTCTTTCAAAATTCCATTTTATCTTCGTAACCTCTGTTTTTTTCAAAGATTCCATTTAGTTTAGTTCCGTTAATTATTTTCTCATTTAGGGCATACGCTTTTTTTTTTAATTCGGAACTATACACCTTTTGTATGAAATGACACGGTTGTCACAATAAATGTCTCATAATAAGTGCCATATGAACACATCTGCAGATGTTTCTTAGTTCAAAAATTTCACAATTTTCATGCGTAAAAAATGAATTCTGCTTAAGCCGGTGCTAGGGGACGTGAACGGTAAATACACTACCTCTATATCTACCGTCCATAAATAGCCTCAATCAAATTAAACATAAAGCATTTCAATTTTGCTGTTCTTTATGGATTCTTTATTTCTCTACATTATAGTACTTCAAAGTTTTATACTTGAGTAACTATGAGCACAAGGTATTGACATCAAACTCATTTAGATACCATCCGACCAAAATCATTAGGTAACATGCTAATGAAGTGAAACTAATAGTATCTGTGCTATAAAAGCAACACTGATTAATTCTGTTAAATAAAGTATTTCTCAATTTTTAACTTTAACCAAACCAATTGCGTTTTAAACGGTAACTTTATAATGATAAATATAACAGTTGCAAATTATTATATCGACAAGGGGATTTTCTTCCTCTGGTGTAACTCAGAAGTTTTTGTCGAACGAATTAAAAACCTTTCTTAATTTTGCCATTTCCCTGGATAAATGAGAATCATTAAAACGAAAGTGTATCCACAATTCAGTTTTTAGCTTTCAGGTATGTCCGTTACATACATATCGAAACAACTACAGAAAGAGCATCGAAATATGAGAGTATCTGATGTAGCCTCCGAGTATAAATGACATTGCCGTGTGTTTCGATGTTCTTTTTTGTATCACAGGCAAAATCAAAAACAAAACAAACAAAAAAAAAAAAACGATCAAAACACGTTCCCTATCTCTACAATATAAAATCCCAGACAAAATAAACAATAACGAGGTTCTGAATATTATTATGGCTGATTTGTACCATTTGTGTTTTCGCCCTGCGACCCCGAAAAGCAAAAAGTCGAAAATTAACAAATTAGAATGGGGGGGGGGGGGCAGGGCATGGAGGAAGGAAAACACGCTAATTATCGTGAGCACAGGGCGAATTTTAATATAAAAAACTTCGCCCCGCGGAGAAATAAGAAATAAAACAGCGTGGGCTAGTAAGCGTTTACGCTTTGCCCCGACAGTTAAACTTGTTAATTCTGGACTTCTCGCTTTGCTTGGTCGCGGGGCGAAAACACGCTAATTAGCGGGGGCATGCGTGATGTTTTATTCATGACATTTCGCCCAGCGTTGTATTTCTTAAATCTCGCCCCGCGCCCCGCGTGTTTTCTCTCCGCGCTACGCCATTGATAATTAGGCTATGTCGTGAGGCGGAAATACGAATGGTACAAATCAGCCACCATCCACACCTGACCACTGCTTACTTATGCAGTAGTATAATTTATTTTAGCACACATGGAAATACATTGTGTTTATCATGCTGTACCCCGGTTTAATGTCTTAAATTTCAATAAACGATACCTTTATAACGACAATTCATATAGTTAACTTCTTATACCACCGAATCAAATATTCAAAGTACAAGGTGATTTACTACCTGAGTAGCTATCAATGTAGTTGTTTCCCTTACTTATATTAAACCTTCCTGGTTGGGAAACATTTATTCCACTGTTTAAATTTAAAACAGGACATTATGTGGAAATATGGCTATAGTAGAGATGATCAGGCATCCAGCAGGTATGCTAATTAATTTATTAAATTAGATTTTTCCTTTCTAGCGTTCAAGTTCTCTTTATTAATTATAATACAAGTAAATTATTACTGTTTTAAAACGAAAGTAGATACGAATAAGAGTATCCATTGCAGAAGTACGTTTGATATATTTTTAAACAATTTCAGAATTATTTTCAGTCAAATAGAATACAGTCTTAAACAGGCATAAATTTGTGTGGAGGAAGGTTAAAAGTAACTTAATTTTAGTTTAAAGTTTAATTTATCCATTTACGAATACTAAATGATACGTTTCATATCTGATTTATATTGATAAAGGTTGTATTTGTACCTGGCGAACATTAATTTATGTTACCTGTAAAGATAAAGAAAGTGTATGTATGTTACTTTTCTTGCATGTTGAGAAGATTTAAATGCGTTGATTAGATTTTCTGCAAATGTGATGTGTCTACTATATAGGATGAAATGAATAATTTAATAATTAAATGAATTAATGAATTATTTAATGAATGAATGAATGAATAAACGGACATGGAGTGTAATATTCATCGATCATATTCTTTATATCAGATACATCACCAGTCCGGAGATTATTCTTAGCGGATATTGTCTTTTTATACTTTATAGGTGTCAAGTGCTGTGTGGCAGCTGTAAAAAGTTGCCCCGTACTTCACTTCAGTGTCGTTATATTTTTCTGGTCCTTCGGGATCATTGATACCAGCACTATTAAGTGTTGAGAATTGAGTACCGCTCAGCCGATGCTAGGGGGCGTGAGGGATGTTGCACATATTCATTATCCCTCATGTACAGACTCAATTAAACCGAGTTTGCAATTATCTTGTAATTTTGTTGTGTTTAATGCTTCCGAGGGATCACTTTGTTTCCTGATGTTTGTATATTATTAGTCACAATTCTTATATAGTTCATATCTGATATGAATGCCGTCAAAAAGCACAACCATACTTAGTACGTTAACGTTAGAGAAAGAAGATATTTTTTATCAATAACGTAAGTAACTTTAGTTTGATTGGTAATCAGAATAAAATTGAATGACCCTGAATACCAGTTTGTTTATCTGTCGTTTGCTTTATTTACAGTGAAGGCATTGAAATAATCTTTAGTACACATTTATATTATCTAAACGATGGTGCTATAGGAAAAACGTAATTCAAATAAAAGACTCAAATTTCTTAGCAATTATTTTATAGTAAAACACTAATTAGGCTTTTTTATCTCCTACGTAGGACTTATAAAGGAGTTATTTTTTATAGAAAATGTTAAATTGGCACCAGGACGCTTCTGTATCCTGGTGCCAATTCATAATGTACTATAAAAAATAAACTCCTACGTAGGAGATAAAAAGCCTAATTAGGAGTTTGTAACTCCAACGTAGGACTTTTAAACTCCTACGTAGGACTTTGTAAGTCCTACATAAGACTTTATAACTCCTACTTAGGACTTTATAACTCCTATGTAGGACTGTGTAACTCCTACGTAGGACTGTGTAACTCCTACGTAGGACTTTATAACTCCTACGTAGGACTGTGTAACTCCTACGTATACGTAGGAGATAAAAAAGCGTAATGAGGAGTTTATAACTCCTACGTAGGACTTTAAAACCTCTACGTAGGACTTTATAACTCCTACGTAGGACTTTATTAGTCCTACGTAGGATTTTCTAACTCCTATGTAGGACTCTAAAATTTCTACGTAGGAGATAAAAAAAGCCTAATTAGGAGTTTGTAACTCCTACGCAGGACTTTTAAACTCCTTCGTTGGACTTTGTAAGTCCTACGTGGGACTTAAATACTCCTACGTAGGACTTTATAAGTCCTACGTAGGACTTTGTAACTCTTACGTAGGACTTTAAAACTCCTGCGTAGGACTCCTGCGTATATCAAAGTACCGAAAGCACAGAGTTCGACAGACATGTATGCTAGAGTATAACTTAAGACAGCATATTATGTAGGATAAAAAATAATATGAGCCGCGCCATGACAAAACCAACATAGTGCATTTGCGACCAGCATTGATCCAGACCAGCCTGCGCATCCGCGCAGTCTGATCAGGATCCATGCTGTTCGCTTACAAACCCAATTACAAGTAGAGAAACTGATAGCGAAAAGCATGGATCCTGATCAGACTGCGCTGATGCGCAGGCTGGTCTGGATCCATAACCTTCTATGTTAGTTTTGTCATGGCGCGGCTCATATGTGTCAAGTTGTAATTGTGGCAAGCCGCTTAAGTAAATACCTTTAGTCTGTTGCCAGAAATGATTTTGTCATTTTCTGCATATATTAAACGATGATTCTGTGTTATGTACGTCTACTTATATATTATACACATGTACACAAAATGTATGGGTTAAACTCAGAAAGAAGGATATACAATGTAATTCATTATTAAACATATGCATGCATAATGCTCCGCAAACCGTTATCTTCTTAAACTTTACGGAGCAGGAACAAAACACTTCACTATTCCCCCTGCCTCCTATAAGGATTTTATCATTTGAAACAGCCGAAGATGGATAAACTGCTCGTTTTGTTCAGTTAGTTCGTATGGATAACGTTATCGTTAAAGCATTTTAAAATTTTGATATATATGCTTGTTGTCGAGTAAGTATTTTTCGAATAGTTGTAAAGAAATGTTTCGGGATACATCGCCAATGCTTAGAGACACCTCCCCCTAAGACACTGTACACTCTAGAAACCTGAGACACTTTATTAAAAGGTGAAGTGTGGCGGCATGGCCGTGTGACTAGTAGCCTAATGATCGCTAGCCACATGGGTTCAAACCCCGTTTGGCGCAAGCCGTTGTTGCCTTGAGCAAGAAACTTAACACTCATTGCTAAGTACGTACTGGTTGGTTCCAGGAACAGATTCGAAAGTGTATCTATAAGCTTATAGCTTCCTACACAATAAAACTTAAATAAATTCTGTATGAACCAAAGGTGAAATGTCCTCTATATTAAAGATTTGAAATTTCGGCCCGGGGGGGAGGGGGATTAAGTGTTTTGTTCCTTCGCTGTCCTACGTAGGAGTAACAAACTCCTAATTAGGTTTTTTTGTCTCCTACATAGGAGTTATAAAGTCCTACGTAGGAGTTATAAAGTCCTACGTAGGAGTTATAAACTCCTAATTAGGCTTTTTTATCTCCTACATGGGAGTTAAAAAGTCCTACGTAGGAGTTACAAAGTCCTACGTAGGACTTATAAAGCCCTACGTAGGAGTTATAAAGTCCTACGTTGGAGTTATAAACTCCTAATTAGGCGTTTTTATCTCCTACATAGGAGTTATAAAGTCCTACGTAGGAGTGTCAAAGTCCTACGTAGGATTTATAAAGCCCTACGTAGGAGTTATAATGTCCTACGTAGGACTTACAAAGTCCTATGTAGGAGTTTAAAAGTCCTACGTTGGAGTTACAATCTCCTAATTAGTTTTTTATCTCCTACGTGGGAGTTTATTTTTTTTATAGAACATTATGAATTGGCATCAGGACGTTTCCGTTATTATTGACCTATCCCTATTATAATAGCCAATTTTTTTAATCATATTACTAATTCAACTCAACTTGACATCGAAAATATGAGCATAATATCACTTTAACATATAAAAGATTCTGACCAATATATGTAGCTGTATGTTTTATTAGAAATGAAATTTCTTTTGTCGTCTTACTTTGTGCATCCCTAAACAAAACGCATGAAGACGCGTACCGGTTACGTCACGGTAACGATCACGGCAGTTAACCAGTTCGCGGAGTTTCAAATTCTAAATGAATTGAACCTCTAGGTAAAGAAAATCATCATCCAAATCAGAGAGTACAAAGAAAGTTTCTTTTTCGTTTTTATTTGCAACAAGAATTATATAATTCCTTTTGAAGATATGTAATGTTTGTCATCTTAGTTTTAACGATTTATTTAAAAGGTCCATGCTTAAAATGTACAATGTTACTATTTTAACACCACTGAATATTATTTATCTTTTTAGCGTCGCCTTTCAGAAGAAATACGATCTTGATGTAGATGACATACGTATACGTGCTAAACTTATATATGAAGCCTCGAAAAATCTCTCAAAGGAGCAAAAAAACATCCACAGAAAGAGAAATAAAAGTAAAGGCAGCAAACAACTACAAAAATGCATGGGAAATTATGATGAAGGACTGCGTGAAATTAGAGAAGAACTGGGGGAGATCAGTTATGTATGTATTAAACATTATACATATTATAATATTATGATAGCTTGTGACAATTTTAGTTTCGCCACAAAATTAAACACTGCAAATGATCCATGATCTGTTTTCTATACAAAAAGAAAAACAAACATTTTTCTCAACTGCCTGTAAATGTAGCATTTACAAATCGCTTCTCTTTGTATAGATCTTGTAACACTTTCATGTAAGTGCATGTGATAGTTTATCGTATTGCATTTACGTTTAAAACATTAATACCTAAAGGGATTTCACTGAGGGTTGTCATGTACGTCAAGACCAATAATTTGTGTGCTCAAGTTAAGAACATGCTCTCACTCCGTTTTTCCAGAATAATCATAATAATTGTGAAAAATTGCCTAAAGAAGTTGCAAAGCTTTTCATTCAAATCGCGCAAAGAATGGCACAAAAATTCGATTTTCAATTGATTTCAAAGAATATGTCTTAATTATTATTGGCATATAATTCTATTTAAGCATCCCAGCTGATCTATATAAGTCATTCAACTTTTATCTTTTAGGCGGGGTTCCCTTCAAATACATACGAAGTTTAAACCATGATACATCAAAACAATAATTTCGAACTGATTACATATGAACGTATCAAAAATATTTCCAATAAATTCAGATTGTAAATGAAGACAATGATGATAAAGGCTTTAACAGCAGAAATGAATACGAAAGATCAGCATCATTAAATGCCCCGAAAAAGAAGAACCGAAAAGATCTGTCTGATACCTTCACGAGCGGCGCAGCTACGGAATGTTTTCGATGTCTTTCAAAAGAAACGAAAATTCAAGACCTTGAATTGAAATTAAAGAGGTGAGGTTAAGTTGAGAGACATTTCTATGAAAAGCTAAAGAAATTATTTTAAAACATAATTTGAAAATCAGATACCTTTTTAACATTTCCAAGAGCAGTATCAAAATAAAATGAGAGAATAAAGTTATATATAAATGCATTCAAGATTTATTAAGGGAATTATAAAAGGTACAACCAATAACCAAGTACCGATAATCATTGATACTAAATTTTTTTTCTTGTTTGCTTTTCAGAACCGAGCGGAGCTCTCAGCAGAAGTAAGATGCCATATCTGAATAAATTGTGTTTGTTTTGTATTAAATATATAAAACAATATATGAAAATTATAATACCATAAAACAACAGACAACAACAACAACAAAAAACAAAAACAAACAAAAACAGAAACAATTTGCATTTTTCAGACATTCAGCTATTCAATTAGTATCATTATTCTGTAATATTTACATATCACTTCAATTCATGTTTATTTATTGTTTTCAATTACATATCGCTAAACTAAAAATTATATGTATTTTAGCATAATGCAACTCACTGAAACGCTGGACGATCTCCAAAGACGGCATGACAAACTGGAACAGAGATTCCGTGAAGAAGTACGCTTAAAAGATGATGCCCTGCAAAGGTGATTTATATTATGTGATCGAAATAAATTTTAGAAATTTGCTTGAAAATTATCAGTTTGTCATGCAAATTGTGCTTTGATTTTTTGGCATTCCACTTTTCTTATCGGAAAGTATTTCGTTCACAAAAAAGTTACATTTTAAATGGCGCTTATATTGTGAAATGTTACAAAACACTAAATTGTAGTTAATGTTTTTGTTCTTAGATTTAAGCGTACCCCTTCTAATACACAAAAAAAAACATAACAAAATAAATTTATAAAAATAAATTGGAACTTACAATTAAAATTATACGCTACTATCATTTTCAATAGAGATAAAATAATACAAATAAATACTTATGATAAAATTAATATAAGTAAAGAAAACAATATATTCATTCAAGGTATAGAAGCTAATGGTACAACTAAAGATTATTAACATTATCAATTACCAATCTATATGAATATTTGATTTATCACAAGTGCCAAACATTTCATTTTTGTTTGAAACATAATGTATAACACATGTTTTAATGATTTACAATAATTTCATATAGCTTAAAGCAGTGTTAAAAGTGCATGTCTAATGTGGCAGTGTTTTGTTCTTGAAATTACTTATTTTTTGCATTAAATATACATTGTATTACAGATGCAAACTGATTTATACTATGTGGTGAAATTTTAATTGTTATCATGTTTTGGACAGGTTAAGTAAAGCTGCTTCATCTAAATTACGTGATAATAATCCGAACATAACGGATCTCAGTGATCAGAACCGACCTACAAAAGTGGCCGAGAAATTGTCCGAGCTGTATGATAACCAATGGACAGATGCGTTTGACATTTTAGAACATCAAATGGAAGAGAAACAAGTGATTCAAACATTATTAAAGATTTTAATGGTAAACAAAATTATATATTATATTATGTACTAAGATATGTTAAATATTTGAAAATAAATTATACTCATATTAATTTCTGCTTTTTGAAAAACATAGATCTATATCTTTTTATCGCAATTTATGTATGAATTATTAATATATGATGTAACCATGCGTTTTGCAGACAGCATATACTACTTGTCAGGATCTTTCGAGCAGACATTTCTTCGAAAGGGTCCAAAAAGCTATTGAACTACCGACAGAGGTATCAATATAATTAAATTATGTTAACCTTTTTCGATATTTTTTTAACCTCAGTTTCTTTAGCCCGAAAAAAAGCCAATAAAACGTTTCTATCCTTTATAAAACTTTCTTAAATAATTATCATGATAATGTTTCTCGTCTCAGGATTTGAACATAATTTACCTTTCATTTATGAACAACGAATACATCATACTTCAAATCATAATTTAATTGACCAATAATGAAATTTATTCACATATTTTGGTAGCATATCAACTATTATTACTTATGTAATATTTTTTTTGTTTAAGGTGGCTGAAATATCGAATTACCAAGTTGTCTTATCAGACCAGTTTAAACAAGAAATAAAAGAATTCCGAAAGAATCGTGCCCCATTTGTTATACGTGATGTTGAAAAGGTATAATGAATTCATAAGTAGTATCTCTCTTCTTTATCCGACTTGCCATAAAATGATTATATTTGAACATCATTCTTTTATGTCAGAATTTAAAACAGTTATTGAAACATATGCCTTCAATGCAACACTCTCAACATTAAGGAAATTAATGAAACACAGTGACTTACTTTAGCTTAGTAATACTTGCAATTTCGAATTCACAAACATGTAATAAACATGTATGATATTGTTGTTTCATTTAAGTATATATTTAATAACGAGCAATAAAACTAACTAAAACTAAATCTCTATTAGAGATTATATGTTTCTAAATTCAAGATTTTACTATTTCATGTTTAAATGTTGAATTCTGCTTAAGCCGGTGCTAGGGGGCGTGGACGGTAACTTGCACTTTCCAGTACCGTCCATGAACAGGCTCAATCAAACCGAGCCTGCAACATTTTCAATTTTGCCATGTTGGGCTTTCTTTAGGGATTCTGTATTCATCTTTTCTATTAGAGTTTGATCAAATTGATATTATTATAGGCTGTGCGACCAAGACTGCCGCTGGCCAAACATCAGTCAAAAGACGTGCAGGACTATGTTACAGCATGCGTAGAGATTGCATGGTTGTGCGCTGTGCAAGATCCCCCATTGAAGCTTGATGCACAATTTACAGACAAATTTGAAACCAACGTATTAAAAGATTATACAAAACGCGGAGAATTTGTTGACTTTGTGGTATGGCCTGCAATGTTTCTTCATAAGGGCGGGCCTCTTCTTTCCAAAGGTGTTGCTCAAGGAAGATGTGGTAATCAGCCTCGTGAAGTACCTGATCGTCCTATTTCGGTTGATACAAGGAAAGATGGATACAACACCCAAACAGGCACAAACACCCACAGACATTTCTCAAACCAACAAACAGAACAATATCACTATCGTGACCATCAATCGCACCAGAGACCGGACAATCGTAACCAACATAACTACAACAAATCTAAAACGATGTATGCGCCGAGAACAAATGCACCAAATGACTATGGCCACAGACAAAGGTATCCCACCCATTCAACAGAAATTTAACATTTGTCCATCATGTAGGAAATTCAGGCGTGCATTTGTTATCAAGTCAATTGTAAGCAATAAAAATGAAGATAACGTGTGTAAACGATGCAGCCTTTTAATAATACTAGAAGTGTAACTATAAGTTGATCAATTTTGTTTAGAGGCCTACAGCTAAAATTGAAGTACAAAGATTACAGTGTATTTAAACGCATTTCATTGTTCTCCAGGAATTTGATACTATTTTTCAAGATACACTTTTATGTTAACTTATTTACTTAACTTATATATAACTTACAAATATGTGTATGCCGGTAATTTGCTATGTATATAATGTGTATATAATTATAAAGAGCTTGTTTAAATTATGTCTTAAAGTGATATTCATACCTGCTTAATATAACTTATATTCTAACGTATACCGTCTAACATAATTAATTGTATTATTCCTTGTAATTTCTATATATGTATTTTTCTCTATATGCATATTGTTTTATAAGTAGAATCTATAAAAAATTGTTACATAAACTGTTGTCTAATTTCATAAATATATGTATAATTGATTATTGTTATAGTCATAAGATTTCATTCTTTCTATAACAATAAATGTTTCAAGAAATGTATGCCTCAGCCCCTTATTACAAAAAATAGCAATCGATTAAAATATAGAGTGATAAATTGCATTTTTTATAGAAGTAAAATGTACTGGAATAAAATAATTCAACAAATATACACTATTAGAGTCTTCCTTTCTCTTCATTGTATGGTATAAATAGCATATATTTAGCAAATGTATTACTTTATGTTATTTTTGATGACTTTAGGGAATAAAATAAGTGATGGGAAAAGTAATTTGACCATGTATCTAACATAAATAACCGGGATAATGTTATATTGTAAATATGCAAAGAAAGAATAATATTCGTCCTATATAACCAAAATATTTGTCGTCAATATCTTAAGTCATAATCTGATATTATTTGTAATAAAAGTATGAACAGCAAAAAATAAAATTTAAACTTCTATAGATACTATACTTTCAATATTACACGTTAGTAACGTTGCTTTTCATTGGTTAATGATGACGTTTATATAAACCACATACACGGCTGCTGTAAAGTAATGAGGTAATTTCATTTTTTTTTTCAAATAAAATATAGGACATTTATAGGACAATATAACATGTCACAATCTTTACAAATAATAATATATATACCAATCTAAACTAAGAGGGATTCCATTGATGCTTTATGGCATAATGGGACTGACAATACTTAATTTTTCGACATTTGTGTACCATTTGACGCAGATCAAGACCTTACACTCGTGCAAAATTTCTGACCATTTGTCCTCCATTATTCCAAATAATCAATTTAATTTTTCAAAATGAGTCAAGAAATGAAAAGCGTCATGACTGTAAACTACTTTAATCGAACAAAATCACACAAAATATCATATTTTGTGAAACGCCTTTAAATATTGTTCAAAATTCAGTTTACTTTTAATGTATTTGTTATGTTAAACTTACAACATAGTGGTAGTATTCACTCAAAATATGATAAACAAGATCAACAAGGAAAGGCGGCGTTCAATGAACGCAACCCCCATATGACCCAGCAACAAGAACCAGTGGCAAGGAGCCCAGGCGGACCCCTAACAAAAACAGGACAGGGCACAAGACAGAGCACGGACAGGTAAATGATAAATAATTTGTAACTGATTAGGAATTCAACGAAAACAAATAAATGATTGAATAATAGGCCCACAAAGTCAAAGGGCACAGGGGAAGGAGACAAGAAACCGGGGGAAGGGGGGTTTAATCGAAGAAATAAAAACTAGGGGTAAAGGGGGAAGATACTTACCGTAGACGAGAAAACAACAACGGACACAAGCAAAAGTGTCACCAAAACAAACAACATAGACATACATCTGAGGAACACAGAAGGGCGCCGCCTTGAAACGGTCAGCAGCATAATAATGACTGCTGGGGAGTTTAAACCGGTAAATGGTGCATCAAACCTCGCTCTTAGCCCAGCCATGTTCCTATAAACGAGACAGTGTAAGTAAAATTAATCCCCGCCAAGTGAAATTCTAACAGTTGTTATGGTTACAAAAGGTTAAATAAGTAAAATACCAAAATGATCATGTAGAAACATAGAAAAGTAAACCCAATGACCATAACAAAAGTACTCAATGTCCTAAGGAAGAAACTTATTTAACATTTTTTTGAGCCATCGCCAAAATTACTATATATCAATATACCGACACACCAAACTGTATATAAAACAAACTTGAAAAGACATTGAAATGATAACAATTCTAGGTTCTTGCAGCATGATATAACAGTTCCTAAGACCTATCATATGAACTTGTTTTATCCATTCAGATCACTTATAACTGTTAAGAAACCATGGATGTTATCAGAAACCAGTTACTCAAATAAACGTTCTGCGTTTATTGTTTAAAAAACAGTTCGAAAGAAACTTTGGATTTCTATTACTGCTACTGGCTGCTGCTACTAACTGTTGCTGTTGCTACTGTTGCTTCTGCTGCTACAACTGCTACTGCTGCTACTGTTACTACTACTACTACTACTACTACTACTACTGCTGCTACTGTTACTACTACTACTACTACTACTGCTGCTACTGTTACTACTACTACTACTACTACTACTGCTGCTACTGTTACTACTACTACTACTACTACTGCTGCTACTGTTACTACTACTACTACTACTACTACTGCTGCTGCTACTACTACTACTACTACTTCTACTGCTGCTGCTACTATTACTACTACTGCTGCTGCTGCTACTATTACTTCTACTGCTGCTGCTACTATTACTACTATTACTACTACTACTGCTGCTGCTACTATTACTACTACTACTGCTGCTACTATTACTACTATTACTACTACTACTGCTGCTACTACTACTACTGCTACTACTACTACTACTGCTGCTGATGTTACTGCTACTACTACTACTGCTGCTGCTGCTGCTACTGCTGCTGCTGCTGCTGCTACTGCTGCTGCTGCTGCTGCTGCTGCTGCTGCTGCTTTGCTGCTGCTGCTGCTGCTGCTGCTGCTGCTGCTGCTGCTGCTACTGCTACTGCTACTGCTACTCCTACTGCTACTCCTACTGCTACTCCTACTGCTACTCCTACTGCTACTGCTACTGCTACTGCTACTGCTACTGCTACTGCTACTGCTACTGCTACTGCTACTGCTACTGCTACTACTACTACTACTACTACTACTACTACTACTACTACTACTACTACTACTGCAGAATTTCTAAAGAAATAAAAGGAATATTTTCAAGATCTCCATACAGTATAATAAATACAATATAATAAATCATGAAAATTGCTTAAGATAATCGTGACACAGTTATTTAATAACTGATAATTCATCAAAACTTAATCACAATTGTTTTTCAAGAATATCTACATGTATATGAAATTACAAACTGAATCCTTTGAGATAAATTATAGGTGAAGAGGTCAGAACAAAGAAATCATTGCTATCTCTTTCGGATCGTAAATATTGTATAATATGTATATGGCCATGTATACACCAGAGTTTATCAATATGTTTAATTTGACGATATCTAGGTGAAGTTCGAGATTTGGTAAACTACATCACTATGTCATTTGTATATAAAAAGCTTATAAAAACACAAGCGATTGTAATTCTGGCCCGAACTCATCAAACTTTGTAAGAAAAAATTGTCTTGTTGGGTTTGACGTTTTAGGCGATTTTCTAGGAACTTCAGTTTTTATTCCAGGCACGAGCAGGCAAGACGTTCCGTCAGCCAGCTGGATAATTTCATCACATGAACGATTCCAACCCGCGGCGGTGAGGGCAAGTGGTTTGAAGTCAACGACCTGAAACCGCTCGGGAACGAATGTTCTTCCATTTGTGAAAAATAAGTCTGCCTATTCGGTTATTAATGATTAGATCCTTTTATTTGAATAACAATAAATTTAGCCACAAACATTGATATGTGCTCTTTTGTTAACAAATATGTTGTAGTGACATTCTTATTGTATCCACTAATCTGAAAATTAGAATTAGACAGTTAAGGGATCTTTGAATTCCACTGAACAATGCTCCTTTCAATTATATATCATCTTCCAAATGCCCTATCCTCATCTTGTTATCTAAAAGTTTCACCTTGCCAAAGTTTTAGTGTCTGAAAAATCAAACTAACCAAATATTACAAAATGTAAATGCATCAGAAAGGAGTTTCGTATTTTTGAAATATCGTGTTATCTATCTCTAGGGCGTGTGTCTCACTTCTAGGCATATGAATAAAAATGATTTGTGTAATTTGAATTATACTAAAACAACATTCCAGAAAAGAATATAAAGTGTTTCTTTCTGATACATCACAGTTGATTATTGAATAAGATCAAAACATTTGTGCCGGTAATCTGCATGCACGATGTCAAACAAACAAATTGTTTGAGCCTCTTTCAAGATAAATTGGAAATTAATAAAATACTTAAAAGTCAATAAAAAGATTCAAAAGTGTTCCTCCAAGGCTTCCATAATTTCATGTTTTAGCTCTTAATGTAAAGTGAAGGGAAATGACCTAAAAGTCTAACATAAGATAACAAGTATAATACAATATTCATTGATCGCATTTATCAAGGAAGGTCTGATATAATCATACAATGAATTGGAATGAGAAAAGAAAGAAGTGAGAGGCATCATCAATTCAATTGTGTCATTAGAAAGGGAGATAAATCATAAGGTCCTGATACACTTAACACATAATATGCTTTCAAGTGTTCACAGGTGGTCACAGTTGAAGCTAGCTTTGTGTTATCAATCGTATACGCCAGCATAAGTTGAAACCCATAGTAATCGAATATACAGTAGGGTGAACGTTTCGGTTGTCTAAAATAGCATTTTTCGTGCGTGCGTTTTTTGTGTATCGTGCGTGCGTATATCGTGCAACGTGCGTTTTATAAACGCGTTCTTAAGCTTGATCGTTTACAAACGTATAACGTTTATCGATTTTCGTGTATCGCGCGTTTGAAAGCGTGCGCTTGTTATCCCAAGAAACTTTTAGCGTGTGTCTATGTTCGTCTAAACGTTTAAGTACCGTGTTTTGCGTCTGTTATTATTGACATGTTAAAGAACATCTTCTATACATCTATTTTGTAAATTTTGGTTTCTTAAAGATGTAAAAGATGTTCAGTGTCTCTTTCGAAGAAAAGAAATATTAATGATGCGTTATTTACATTCAAGTTTGTGACGTGCCTTTCGCCGAAGATGAGTGTGAATCCTATTTTACATACGCTAAGGATTTAATTACCATTTAATTGCAACATTTTTTATATTAAATTCAGCAAACATGTATTTATATGCGTACCAGTATATCCGATATGAGCTTCGTCACACATTATGAGATGTTAGTCAGATCATCCCCGCTTTTACCAGTTTCAAGTGTTCACAGGTGGTCACATTTGAAGCTAGCTTTGTGTCATCAATTGTATATGCCAGCATAAGTTGAAACCCATAGTAATCGAATATACAGTAGGATGAACGTTTCGGTTGTCTAAAATAGCATTTTTCGTGCGTGCGTTTTTCGTGTATCGTGCGTGCGTATATCGTGCAACGTGCGTTTAATAAACGCATTCTTAAGCTTGATCGTTTACAAACGTTTAACGTTTATCGTTTTTCGTGTATCGCGCGTTTGAAAGCGTGCGCTTGTTATCCCAAGAAACTTTTAGCGTGTGTCTATGTTCGTCTAGACGTTTAAGTACCGTGTTTGCGTCTGTTATTATTGACATGTTAAAGAACATCTTCTATACATCTATTTTGTAAATTTTGGTTTCTTAAAGATGTAAAAGATGTTCAGTGTCTCTTTCGAAGAAAAGAAATATTAATCATGCGTTATTTACATTCAAGTTTGTGACGTGCCTTTCGCCGAAGATAAGTTTGATTCCTATTTTACATATGCTAAGGATTTAAGGTAGACCATGGGTGATGAAATCGGCAATAATCGACAAATTACGTGTTATTACGTGTTATTTCGTAAGTAAACGTAGAGCCGTTCGATAGTTTCCGTTTATTTCGGTTAACCTTGGACTTTACCATACAGTCACAATGTGGTGTCCGAGATGTGCAGCGTTCGCAGCGTTCTCAAAGATGGCGTCCACCAGAGACACGAAAGGACGTTTCAGTGTGAAAAAGACAGAAATTCGAAGAAAGAGGAGAGACAATTGTGTTTTTGAAGACCATAATTATTTATCAGGTCATGTGTGTAGTGGAGATATCTGTAACGACACTTACTGCCCGTTGAATTACAACATAAACCTTCCGAAGAATGTAGACAGAAGCGGTTGGAAAGTTGGAAGGAGGGTTGTTGAGCTCTATGTTTTGTTGTCGGCATTATCTTCATGTAATTATTGTAAGTTGGGACCGATACCGTTAACATTATACAGTGTTTTAGGTGAACTGAAAAAGGGACTTGGAGGATATTTATATGTGAAATGCCAAAATGTTAATTGTAACCAAGTAAACATTGTGCCCTACGGGAAGACTCATCATATGAAACCGAAGGGATGTCCTTGTTTCGCAGTCAACACTAAGCTTGGTACAGGTAAGAGAACGTTTGTATTTCACATTTATTTCAAATTAGCACTATATTGAACTTACAGAAAAATTGGTTAATATAAAATGGTATCAGTCCATCTTGGGTCTGGTAAAATTCAGTCAAGTTGATTAAAAAAAAAATGAAACTATTATTAGTGTACGAATAATTTAGCACGCAATTCAAAGTTGTCGCCCCTATTGTATTATGCCATTTGTTTTCATGTTGCTGTCAAAAGTATTTATGCAAGTTTGATATTTATGTCGAGCCTTAGTCATGTTTAATATTTGATAATTCAATTGGAAATACAAAGAAGATCAGAATATGATTGAAAACTGTTGAGGTACATTTAAGTTATTAATTAAGCCTGTTATTACATTTAGAAGTTTTTAATGTTTTGTACCCTGTCGTTTTCGAACCCATGTTAAATTTGTAAAATGATAAGAAGGCCTGATATTTGAAGGCTTTTTAACAGTTCATCTGTGATAATTAATTTTAAAGGCATGTTTGTTAGATGTGTTTTTCAATTTATTTTATAGCTACATGTACTTATAAATTAAACTAAGCTTATATTAGCAGTGCTTGAATGTGATCATGTTAAGAGTTTTGTCCTCTTTTTTTGGTAACAGGAAGAGTTAAGCAACATTCATTATTTGTTTTCAAACAGTCATTTTTTTTGCAGCAATGATTGATAGTATTGGAGGTACAGACAGAGTAAATAACTTCCTGTCCACACTTAACTTGAAGCCAATCGGACCCAAGACCCTGAAGGAATTTGAAAGAAGAGCCGGGGAGAATGTAGAATCAGTTGCAAATCATTCAACACTAAATGCAGCCAAGAATAGCTTCAAGATGGAGATGGCGTATGTACTATGCTAAATCTTTTAATAATTTTATCAGAAATACTTGCTTGGTTAAAAAGTATGACTTGTTTTAATTTTCATACTGTTTTTATTTTTATGAAAAAAAAAACACGGCTGTTGTTCTTTATGCCTTTGATGGGATTGCATAGTGTTTTAGTCAGTCTGTCTCTGTCACAAAACCTTATCCTTGATCATTGACAAAAAAGTTTTTCAACCTAAAGCCACTCAAGTTCACAGACAAACTTACAGGTCACTGGGTCAAAGGTCAATGCCTATCGGGGGGGGGGGGGGGGTATGGCATTAAATCGAAAATTGTTTTTGTTGATAATTATACTTCAGTTATTGAATCGAAAAGTAAATGGTACATTCATTTTTCAGCGATATTGCTAAAATGGAGATGGAAAATGCTGCAAAAACAATGGAAGGTGAAGTTATTGAGGACCTTGGTGTTTATATACCCCCAGAATCTTCAACATCAGTAAAGTAAGTAATTGTTTGTGAATGTTTATTATGAAAGTGTAATTGTTTCATTTGTATGTATATGGGAGGCATATTTAGTGATAGATTGTATATCTCCTGTCATAAAGGTCATGACTTTGAACCACACTCAGAATATATGATTATTTCCTAACAAAACATAAATCATGTTTCTTAATGTGTTAACATATATATAATGATATTTGAAGTTTTTTATAATTGACATTAATTCTTACAGATTTTTACTTTCTAAACCCCCGAGTCTGACAGAGGGAGAATCTGATGAAGAAGAAATACACAGCCCTGGTTTCGAAATTAATATGTCTCCAGTTGCAACAAGTCAACATGCCACAGATGAAAGGTTTATATTAAAACTTGCTTATGATATTAACAATTTGTCTTGAATATGCATTAATAACATTCATAAATCTCTTTTCTCATATGTCAAGGATTTGAAGCCTGTCCATTTATTTGTCCTCCATCTCTATTTCATGTGGGAAGTTGGAAGTTACTTGCGGAGACCAGTTTAGTACTGGTGACATGTGTCAGATTTAAATGTTGAAAAACGGTGTTGAACTTGGAACAAACAAAACATTTCAAGGAATTGTAAATGTGAATGAATTATTTCAATAGTAAGGCCTTGTACATAATTTAGATGGTTATTTTACAATAATATTTTTTTTCTAGCTGAGAGTGTCTACAATTTAGACTGATTGTTATTTTCAGATTCAACACTCCACCAAACAATCCCCATGTGGTTACCATTATTATGAAAACGCCATCTGCTCCTCGCCGACTAAGTCCTATCAAAGCAAACAAGGTCATGAGACGAGTAAACCTAGCAGAGAAATTTCCAGTAAAGACACAATCCGGAATGTCTTGTGCTGTTGATACGGCTTGGCACAAACGAGGATTTGACAGTCTCACATGTAAGTGTTCTTGTAAATTTAATAAATTAAACAAAAGCATTTGCTCTGTTTAAGTTGCTGTAGATTTTCTTTTTATTTTCTTGTGACACCTTTTTGAAACTGGAAATATAAACAGATATTTAAGGGAGTGCTTTGCAAAGAACCCCCAGTATAAATTCAATTATTTTCAGATTATCTTCCTTTTTGATTCTTTCACTGTTTGGAAAAGTGATAATTGATGAAGTTTGTATAAAAATTACAATAAGGATACATTTTACTCTGTCTGTCACATCTGTTTGTTTGTTCATCAATTTTTCCCAATTATAGCTTTAAAAGAACAAAATCTGTCAAATGTCACAGTGCCCTTTATCATTCGAAAAAAGCTTTTGGGGAGCGTCAATCAGTTTTACCAGTCATCTTGTTTACAGTTATAGTATTTTTTTTGTTTTGCAGCGCATACATTTTTCATGAGCAAGGCAAGATATGGCAAGAAAGTTGTGAAAGCTTTAGTAAGTCATAGGACATGCGGTACTTGCAAGTGGTGGAAGAGGAACAGGCCCGGACAAAAAGTTAGACCACACAGATGTGTACAAAATCATTTCGGTAGTGCCAGGATGATGGAGAGTGTCAGTGGGGTAAAGGGAATACAGGAATTAGAAAAAGAAGGTACTCCAGTAGAATATTTAGAAGAGGATGGTGATACTACCATGATTGCCAGAATTCGTTCAGATTTAGGTATGTCAATGAAGAAGAGATTTGATCGAAATCATGTTGTGAAGAACATTGGAAAAAAACTTTATTCTTTGAAAGTGAAAAAACTTAGCAAAAGTGTAATAGAACACATACAAAAATGTTTGAAATATGCCTCATATGGGGGTTGCGTTCATTGAACGCCGCCTTTCCTTGTTGATCTTGTTTTTCATATTTTTTGCTAAACATCAAGGGGACAAACAGGGATTACAGGAGAACCTAAAGGCCTTAATACCCCACCAGTTTGGTCATCATGATCTGTGTATGGATAGGTTTTGTGGGTTTAAGAGAAATCCAAATGAAAAGTATACACATAGGAGTTTACCCTACAAGGCAGCTTTAAAAGGTGACAACCTTCGTGCGGAATTGCAGTCTATATTCCAACCTGTTATTGCAAACGCAGAAGCTTACTCAGATTTAGGATCCAGTCAGCAGTGTGAGCACGCCAACAAGGAAGTTACTCTTCGTGCACCCAAGTCACACCACTATGGCAACTCCGAGTCCCTAGATCATCGAGTACAAGCTACAGCAGCTTTCATCAACGAAGGCCGCAGCTACATTACCCAGGTACTTTGTTGCAAAATTTCACTGTTTCAAGTTTTTTCTTTGTTTTGCTTTCAATGTTATTTGTTCATTATTTATAAAGTTCCAGTTAGAGAACTATTCAGTAATCCATATTTGATATACACTTACAAGTTTCTAAATTGACTTCTAAGCAGTTTTTGTTATTTCAGTGTTTTGCAATAGTTACTGGTTTTTGTTTACAGTTTTGTTCATATGTTTTCAGATGTTCTTTGTTTCGAGTTACACTGGGTTACATAGTAACTGCTGTTGGACAATAAGTTAGTATTCATGTTTTCTCATATCACTTTCCATCTAAGTTTAGAAGTTATTATATTTAAAAACTGATGTAAAGTAATGTTTTAATAGCTATATTATTTACATTAGAAGTAAATAGTAAAGTAACATGTACAATAATATATTATAAATATTAGGTCCCACGTTTTAATCCCTGTCATATTTTACCAAAGGATTGAAAATGAAATTACTTATTTTTGCTTGTTAAAAGCAGTAAAGGGAGGTCAAGTCTTTTCATTTATATTTGTTTGTGAAAGACTTTTTGTAAATATTTGCTTTTTTCCTAATCTTTTTTTATTTTTTCATGATGATTTTAGGTAAATGCTAAATGTGGTTTGTCTCCTGGACAGTTTACAGAAGAATATGCTGCAAAGGCTGATCAGAAAAGGAAGAGAAAACAAGCCAGATCTCAGCTGCCATCTACCAAGAGAAGACGTCTAATTCTAAAACAGGAACGCGCAGTAAACCAAGGTGCTAGTGAGGCATTAGAGGGGCAGTCCTATCAGTCAGGTATTTATTATTTTTCATGTAACATTTTTTCTGAAAATAACTGTCTAATAATATATGCAGTTGGTTTATTTCTTCTTCAATTCTTGTGTGAATGATATCAAGCTAGCTTATGGAATTTCATTGGTTTTACCCGTGTGCCAGATATCTGAAATATTATAATACTGCACGTTTGTAACGTCGTTTTTCATTGGATAATCATGACATTTATATAGTTTTATATACACGGCTGTTGTCGATTCATGATCAAATCTCACTTTTTTCTCTAAAAATGATGTTTGCTGTATTATAAATTTTTTATAAAGATTGTTGACAGGTTATATGGCCTAGCGGCTCGGGTAATATTTATAAATAGCCGTCTATATAGGGCCATATAACCTGTCAACAATCTTTATAACTAATAATATAAGGAGAGGCAGCTTCAGTCCTTTTCACCAGTAGAGCTGACATGTCACCAGATTATCATAACATTGTCAGTATGACTTGAAACCCAAATAAAAAAAACATTTTTGGGCCTTCATGGCCGAGTGGTTCAAGTGGATGACTTCATATCACTTACCCCCATCTCTTTGGGGTCAAATCCCCCTGTGGACATAGAATTTATCATGTCAGGATTGGTTTGCAAAAAGTCGATGGTTCTATCCCAGTGCCAGCTTGAGCCTGAAATATTGTCCGATGGAATTGGTGTGAACCCAACAATATTATTTAGTAGACAAAAATATTATTTTTCTTTTTTTCAGGTATTGGGATGGAACAAACAGCTGATATTGAAAAGCTGCCAGATGCAATACCACGTGGACTCTTCAAGCCTGTCAATTTACCCAGTGGGCATGATCCAACATTTGTAATGTTTGATTTAGAGACAACAGACCTTAGTAAGACAATATTTATTTTATATAACATTTTTCTTCTGGACTTTATCATTTCAAGATTGACAGATACATTTTGCTACAAACTTCTGCATGTGGAGAAGCTAACAAGTTAGTTAGTGGTTCCACCCAGTTGCCTCTGCTTTGGACCGATATTTTACGCAGAGGGTAACCTGTCACCAGTTTTTTTTCTAAGAAGTTGATATTATAGGTCATCTCTTCCATTTGTAATTAAGTCATTTATAACTCATTGCAGAAATTCTGGAAGTTCTTGTGACATTTTATAACATTATTATTTCAGTCCGTGGTAGAAACATCCCACACATTACTCAGATAGCTGCAATAGAATTAGCGTCAGGAGCTAGCTTCAACAGTTATGTAAGACCAAAGTTACCCATTACTTTGGCTGCCCAGGAAATTACGGGGATCGTCGTAAATCAGTCAGGACTGATGACAGTCAAAGGCCAACAAGTGGAAGGAAAAACTATTCAGTGTGCAATAAGTGAATTTCTTCAGTGGTTGAATAAATATTCATGTGTAGTTTTAGTGGCTCACAATGGAAGGAAGTTTGACTTTCCTGTTTTTCTTTCTACTTTGAAAAAAGTTGGATCTGAAAAAAAGTTTTTTGATTGTGTAACAGGCCTAATAGACAGTCTTCCTGTTTTCAAAAAAGTTTTTCCAAACCAGGACTGTTATAAACAGGAGCATTTGGTGAAGTCTGTTCTTCAGTCATCATACATGGCACACGATGCAATGGAGGATGTAAAGTCACTCGGTCAATTTATAAAGCAGACTGGATTGACTAGTGAAGAATTGATCAAATACACCTACCCACCACTAGCAGTTCATAATTCACTTCTGTTTAGTGAGGCCAAAGCCAGAAATATTGATTCTCTTGGTCCTCTTATTTATAAAGGTGTGTTGAAGAGACCAACTGCTGAAAATATTGCAGGATCTGGGCTTAATATGTGTGTCTTGCGGAAGATATTCTTACGGAGTGGTGAGTATGGTTTACGTGACACATTTATGTCCTGTAACAGTGATGGATTACCTAGGGTTACAAGTGCAAAAAGGAATTAGATGACTTGATACCTAAACTTGCAGATTTTTTTTCTAAGTGAAGTGAACTAACATGCATTTTCTGTTTTTGCATAGAAAAGAACAATTCTCGGACTTTACACTACATTATAAGAATTTTTCACAAAAGAGATTTTTTTAGCAGAAAGATCATATAATTACCTAATATTACTTCTCAGTGAACTGTTTCTGCTTTAATTCAAGTAAAACATTATAAGATATTCATGGACTGTGGTTTTTACAAATTCATTCATTTATAGTGTAGAACAAAAGGCTAGAAATTTTGATGGCATGTCTCTTTTTAAAACTTAATTTAACAATTTTTCCACGGTAAAATGTTCTGATCTTTATTTTTTCTAATGAATTATACCCTTATTATAATTAGTAAGTAGGTTTTAGTGTTTGGAAGTCTTTAAATTGTAAAAAATATTGGACTTGATATGTAAGATAGAAAAGCAAATGTGCTAAAAATGCTTGCCTTGAAAATAAAATAGCGTCTATTTTCAACTATATTTTTTTTCCCTATATAATGTATTGACTTATTGGCTAATTTTGTGTACAAGCATTGTATTTTGTACTAAAATGTACTAAAGCCACAAAAATTATATGTTTTTTTGTAAATTTTTGTCATGTTTAGTGTTTTAAGTCCTCGGCACATTTTGTGCCATTTTGTGTAATAGGGCTCGCATAATATTTTTGCCCATAAATAAAAAAATAAACGGTAAATTTTTTTAAAATTCTGTATTTTACTTCATTTAAGGGTACTGATTGTAGAACCAGAAATTGTTTTGGTAATTTTAACATGACCCATCACCCATGGTCTACCTTAATTACCATTTAATTGCAACATTTTTGATATTAAATCCAGCAAACATGTGTTTATATGCGTACCAATATATCTTCGTCACACATTATGAAATGTTAGTCAGACTATCCCCGCTTTTACCAGTTCATCTTCTGACGTTTCTTCAAAGACTGTCCGAACCCTATTTTAGGCAAAGGCAGTCGGTGCGTGGCTTGGATAGTATACATGTACATGACCACGCCCACTTATTTTTATAAATATTTTTTTTTCACTAATAAATTATTTTTTTCACTCAAAATATTTTTAAAATATCTTATTTTCAATAAAACAACAAAGAAAAGTCGTTTTTAAAATTTTCATCCATATATACTTTAAATATAATAAAGGTAGAAAGGTTCGACAACGGAACTACAACCAGGCCTTATTTTACCTGCCAAATCTTTGTTAATTGTCAAACAACTTTCACCATTTCACCAAATAAGGTGCAATCTACTCAGAAATGATTTATCTTTCGAAATATGTACATTATTAGACCAGTTGGTACGACAACAGATGAATTTTTAAAGCAAAAATGCACTTTTTGTTTAGGTCGGACATCGCTTCACCGAGCCGACAGGAGACGATTTTGAACATAAATCAATTACAAACTATTGTCGTCACGCCCGTTTAACTCACAACGAGTGAAAAATGTCCATCGGTAAAAATGTTGTGAGCAACTTCCGTTCCTCGTTGTGAGCACCCATCTAGGACGTGTGACACGATAAACAAGGTGAGTTTTTGATAATTTTTGAAGATTACAGACATTTATGTAAAAATATCGGAATGCAGTTAGCTAGCGATGTGTTTTCCGAGTATGCACATGTAAAGATATTGCCTGTTGGTCGACAATTTAATGAAAATACCGTGCGACGCAGTCACTTGGGGTAGCTGGAAAACTGGAGACAACTTCGCTCCGGACCAAATTTAACATTGAAAAACGTCGATTCTGATGACGTTTAGTGCATTCTAACCTAAAACAGATGCCCACAAGACTTCACCGTAAATTATTACATGAAAGTTTTCATAGAAAGGAAGATAAACCCTTTTTTGCTTTAATCCTCGTTGTGAGCACCATAACCTCGTTGTGAGCAAGACAAGCGCAGTGCGTGTCTGGTTTTAATATGCAATTCAAGTGGGGAGAATACAATTTTCAATCTACCAAAAGCAATCAAAACGTTTTTGCACAATAGTTTCTCTTTTGCAATAGTTCTTCTTTGTCTACATAATTTGGCCAGTCTAACATGAATAAAAATCAGGATAAATACATGCATGTTTATATCACACAGACTGCCCTCTATATTAACTCTGGCAATACAAAGTATATGCAATTAAATACATAATTAACCTCCTCTTATTAGTTCACCACCATTTGCACAAACAGCAAAACATCTGCAAAATTGTAGGTATAAGTAGTTTTTTTGTTTACCATTATCTATTAAGCTAAGAATATACTAGTGAAGTGTTAAAAGTTACAATACACAAAATAAGTAATCCTCCGCGAAAAACGATAGTCGCATAATAACAAATTCAAATAGTTTTCAGCGTTTGTTTGCTCTGTACACGAGCATTTTTCATGATTTTAGTTGCACTGTCTTTCCTAGAAAGCTGACATTTAAATAGCATTTTCATCATGATATAGTGGCATTTTAAGAAAACTTCTTGACTTCTTAGGTGTTTCACCACTGGTACAATTTTGGGTTAGCTAATTTTACAGTGTGTTTAACTGAAAAGAATGTTTTTGCAAGAGACATGACCAAAACTTTTCTTTTGATTTTTATGCATCACTGACAGTTTTTCTAGTAGTTCTAATCTTTTTCAGACCAGGGCAAGTACATACTTGATGCTTCGCTTCGGTCTCTCCTTGAACGACCACATGTCCAATCACTGAAAAGAATAGTACTGCAGTTGGAAGGCCTTGTCCAAAGAGGTGTTGTGCCTAATTATGAATTAAATTGATTTACTTATAAGGACATTATGAATGTTTTTGGACAATTTGACCTTCAAGGTAAAGGCCATTCAGGGGTCAAGGAAAAAATACAGGCCCGTAGGAAGGTCTTGTGCTAAGGGATGTTGTGTTCAAATATGAATCAAATAAGTTTACTAATGAGGAAGTTATGGCCAATGTTAAAGTTTTCGGACGGATTGACAGACTGACGGACGGACAGTTCAAAACTAATATGCCTCCCTTCGGGATATAAACAACGTCTTGCAAAGGAATGCTGCTGTGCAAAACGTTTTAATTGCTTTGGTAGATTGAAAATTATATTTTCACCATCTTTTGTTTGTTTTGGGTTTTACGTCACATAGACACAGTAAAGGTCATATGGCGACGTTCCAGCTTTACTGGTGGAGGAAGACCTCAGGTGCCCTTCCGTGCATTATTTCTTATTAGTAGAACCACCGACGTTCCGTAAGCTAGCTGGATAGCTTCCTCACATGAAAGAATCCAAAGTCCCTGTCGGGATTCGAACCCAAAGAGGTGAGGGGCAAGTGGTTTGAAGTCAACGACCTTAACCACTTAGCCACGGACGCCCCCTTTTTCACCATCTGAAGAACATATTAAAACCAGACACGCACTGCGCTTGTCTTGCTCACAACGAGGTTATGGTGCTCACAACGAGGATTAAAGCAAATAAGGGTATATCTTCGTTTCTATGAAGACTTTCATGTAATTATTTACGCTGAAGACTTGTGGGCATCTGTTTAAGGTTAGAATGCACAAAACTTCACCAAAATCGACGTTTTTCAATGTTAAATTTGGTCCGGAGAGAAGTTGTCTCCAGTTTTCCAGCTACCCCAAGTGACTGCGTCGCACGGTATTTCCATCAAATTGTCGAGCAATAGGCAATATCTTTACATGTGCATACTCGGAAAACACATCGCTAGCTAACTGCATTCCGATATTTTTACATAAATGTCTGTAATCTTCAAAAAATATGAAAAACTCACCTTGTTATCGTGTCAAACGTCCTAGACGGGTGCTCACAACGAGGAACGGAAGTTGCTCACAACATTTTAACCGATGGACATTTTTCACTCGTTGTGAGTTAAACGGGTGTGGTTGTACATTTGCTTCGCAACGCACCAGGCGAAAACTTGATATTTTAATCTGGTCCGACACATCCCATAGAAAGGTCCAAATTATCTGAACGTTTGATCCGAAGTGTCCAACTTATGTTCCGAAGTGTCCAAATGTCTGGTCCGAAATGTTCAGAAATCTGTTTTGATGTGTTCCAAAATCTGGTTCGACGTGTCTGGTAGGAAAATGTCCATTGTCCGAATGTCCCATTACCAACTAGTAAACCACTATAAACTTTAGTGCAGAAGTTTAGTGCAAACATACACCTTCTCTTTAAGAAGTCTGTAGTGGGATTGCCTCTGCCCGAGAACCAGTGTCCCTCCATAACATAAATAAAACATAAATAAGGTCATTACGTAAAGCTGTCCAAAAGTTAAACATGTAATTACATCGGACAGGCCGTGCCATCATTTACAGCATTCCCATACTCCACAAGTACAAATACTGCTGCAAAGCAGCAATTTAGAAGCTCCGCGCAAAAACCTGCGCTCACTACAGATACCTGCCAAATCATTCCTACGCACAGGTCATTTTCTGTTTAGATTTAGTACTATTTTACATTATTCAAGTTGTTTTGTAAATCATTTAAATTTGCATAATTATACTTATCGTATGCACTGTCCATGAGAGAGGGGCCAGATATTAAATTTAAAAAGAAATATGTTTTAACTGATGCCTACCTGGTTAGGACAGTAATTCCAATACAAACAAGACTTACAAGACTTGTAATGTGATATGACAGTAGTGCAACATTGTTCCCACTACATGTACCATTTCAGCTCCAACATAAACCCGTTTAAAATACATGTCTAGCTATCATCTAATCAAATCGCTTAAACATCTAGCTACAGGTATTTAAAACTTTTATAATTACGATATTTTATTAAACGTTATGAAACGTTTTTATTTTGCGTGCGTTTTAGCGTACGTATATCGTTTAGCATATTTCGATTAGCGTATATCCTGCGTATTTCGTTTGGTAAAGCGTTCGTTCGTATAGCGTGTAACGTGCGTGCGTTTTTCGTGTAAACAACCGTTCACCATACTGTAACTATTTGTACATTGTTTACTACATTTCTGTTTCTGCTTTTGTTTCTTTATATTTGCAGTTGCTTATGAGTGGTACTAAACGACACACAGATTAAACAGTTTACTACCTCTAACTGAGGATTTTCATTGGCAGCAGTTTTCGACGCAGTGTTTTATCAACTGCAAATAATTCAATAAATGTAGAAGTTTTCTCGACGCAGTGCTTTATTAACAAAAACTATTTAAATTTAATTTAAAAAAGACAAAACTATTTTTCGTTAAACATTGTAACATACATGTAATTGGAAACTGGCTTGGCCTTTCCAGAAACACTTACATTTCCATTGCATGTATTAATCTTCTAACAAATTTTATATGTATATTCCACTAATGAACTTTAACGATAATGTTTTTGTTGTATTGTTTTCGTGTAAAATAATTTGTTCTTGATAATTGATCTAGTCGCTTAAGCTTTAGATAGTAAGTAAACTGTAAAAATCATATATATGTACAAAGGTTATAAAAACAAGGATCTATGTCAATACACGTATATTCTAATGTTAATAGAAAGATTTGAACAATAAGAATTGTTAACGCTTCAATAAGAAATGACTTAATACTGACATGGATATTACTAGTAGTATCACACGCGTTTGAAATGATCTGTTATGTTGACAAAACAAAATTTAAAGTGTTTGAAATGATTGATTCTTACAGTACAATATTGAATTAAATCCATCAAAAAGGTAAGTTGTCTTTAAAAATTAACTTTAAGCATCTTAACTGTTCTAATCTCTGAATGTTATTCTTCGCAAATAAACTATAAGCAGTAAATAATCACACGGTTGAAGAATTAGATTAGTTGAATGAAAAAAACAACAACAAAAAAACCACACAAAACCACAAATAAAAACAGTAAAAATGTTTATAAATTATCTAAAAACCACGCTCAGTGATTACATACATGCATTCTGTACGGACTTCTGTGGCTACTTTGATATGATTCTGCAAAATCTGAATTTCTGAAATAGTCTTTTATGATTTAGTTTACAAAGATCTTATTTGTTTTTTCTTAGTTATTTAGTCAAAAACATTTGTCACTTTTCCGTTCTCCCGTCCGACCCTTTTTATTTTCATCTAACCTTAAACTCCGATTTTCTGCATTTCGGCTTTTTTAAACCTATTTTCACTTTTTTTAAATTTGTTAGGATTACATCACGTAATAAAGATGGCAGCGTCCGCGAGTTAGCTGCTAATTGCTTGCCATACGATTGAAAGCCTTATGCAACAGACCATCGGTCATAATCTACTTGCAACCGTTACATAGAGTAAATTTATAAGTGACATATTTCAACAATATCATGTCCTACTGATGCAGACTAAGGGATCAGAGATACAGATCTGTTGCGGACAAGTCTTGAAGCAAATCCTCTGAACAATTTAATATTGGCACCCATACATTTATGGTGATGCATAATTAAAACGATAGTTTAAAAGATACTTAACCGATAAAAAAATGCTGTTCGAAAGACAATATTTTAACGAGAATATGGATATCGATCATGCAGACGGACTCTTTTGTATTAAATGAAAACAGCAAACAATCACCAAACCTTTTATGGTGGTACGGACAAATATTATTATTTGAGTATCAAGTTTGTGTCATTATGAGGAAGATGGATGCTAGGAGTTTCAAAATGTACGAGGTTTGTCCCAAAAATTAACATACTACCTCTATATTATCAATTGAGTAAACACATATAGTAATAGCTTTTAGAAATTAAGACATGTGTAAATTAAATTTAATTTTACATTGCATTGCAATTCATTGTATTATACATTTTGTGATATTTACAACAACCAGTTCGACAAAAACAACAACAACAACAACAACAACAAGATATGCAGTTTTGATCCCGTTTTGAGACTTCCCACTTAACAGGTATACAATAGAATCTCAAAAAAAAAAAAAAAAAAAAAAAAAAAAAAAAAAAAAAAAAAAAAAAAAAAAAAAATTTTTATAGAGAAAAAAAATTTTAAAAAATTTAAAAAGAGAAAAAAAAGAAAGTTTTTGAACCCCTTTAAAAGAAATTTGTGTGTAAAAAAAAACAAAAAATTTCCCCCCCGGGGTAGCAAAGGTTGGGGTTTTTTTCAGAAAATGAATCCCTTTTCTAATTGTTTTAAATTCAAGCAAAAGAAATCTGCAAAATTTTTTTTGCCGCCCCACTGCCTTTGAAAGTACAATTCTAAACCGTATGTTAGTATACTTTGTGGAGAATAAATCGTTATATTCCGAAAAAGTATAAAGCTACCTATAGGATAAAAGTGTCTCAAAATCATGTGCCTATGAACCTGACATGTAAAACATGTATGCTCACAAAATCATAGGCGACAAACGCGAGAGGTTCATGTCCGCGTTTGCTTACAAGCTGCGTTGTGTACACTAGTCTTACTGATAAATTTGATCCAAAACTACAAAATCTTGATAAAGAAAACTTATTTTGTTTAGAACATATATGCCATAACATTGAAAATCTATAGTGAAATTATCCTGTGTGCAACTGTCAGACAATTTAAAAAGTCCTATTCATTCCGTCTACAGTGGTCCGAGACCCAAAACAACACATTTCGTCCCTCTGGAAAAAATACCTGCAAATATACGGGCTACAGAAACACTGTCAACACTTTAGCCACCCAAATATACATGCAAAATATCTAAAAGAAATAGGTGCTTGGCCTTGTAGATTTTTGCTATTGCTTAAAGTTTGTACCCCAAGTAAAATTACTTGATTATACCAAAAGCATGCTGTGTAATAGCAATGTTTACAAAAAATGGTGGCCTTGAAATCTATATTTAACAGCATGTGATTTCTAACCTTGCTTTCGAATTTGACAATGATCATAATAGAGGTCATGCTGAAAATGCACTTTAAAGACAACCAGTCATTTAAATCCAGAATAGTCACTATATCCAAGAAATCCATCTGGCCATTCGAAGCTGTGGCTTCAATTAGTGTGGTGTGTTACCTTAACATGGCGACTTGAACTTAGAAGTGATTTAAAATCACAATTGTAGGCGAAACACAATTAAATTTAAGCGCCGTTGATGAGATCTTCTACAGGTAAAAATATTATATTTTATTTATCTGTTCGTTTATTGTATTTTGTTGAAAAAGATTTAATATTTGTGTACATCATTGGACCGAAAGTAAAAGTCCAATAGTTTAAATATTTGAATGAATACTAAAACATTCTATTTTCAATTCAAGACCGCTGCTAAATAAGTAAACCATCTTTCATAACTTGAAAAGATATAATGTACATGTATAAGGTGTTTTATAAAAAAACCGCTATCCCTTCGAGGACTACTTTCTGTATGAGTCATTTTGGGGTGAGTAACGCGTCGTATACAATGTACAAGCTGTGTGAACGAGAGTCATATTACCTCCGTAAATTTAAAAAAGGATGTAACATACACTTAGTGATATTGTCTATTTTCCGACGATAACTATGCGCTCTATTACATTCTAACCGTCGGAATCCTTTTGATATTGAATTGAAGATCATCTTTAACTAAAAAATACAATAAAAACACCAAAAATATCATTTTCCCTTCTATTAAGCGTATATGAAATATTATAGTATCTTGAAGAAACAAGAGCCCAGTTTGAACCGGGTGATGATCCCCGAATTGGTTTTGTACACAGGAAAGTACACCTCTTGAGTTATCACTCTGGAAAAAGTGCAAAGTGTAATAATTCCAAAATTAGGCATGGAAGATTTACTGTTTTTTTTTTACTGCACCTCTAATCAATGCGATCTACGAACCTACACGGTTTTTTGTTGTTACCTCATATGGTTTCCGAGTAATGTCCCGGTCAAAATGCAAAATGTAAAAATTAACAAAGGGCAATAACTACAAAATTTTGCTTGGCGGAGTTCAAGTTCTTGTACATTGCACATCTACCAATTGAGATCTACCTACCTTCGAAGTTTCATGTTGATACCTCTAATTGTTTTACAGCTATGTCCTGGACAATATTTTTCTTAAAGGGAAGATAATTCAAAAACGAGGCTTGACAAATTTATGGTTCTTTAGCACTGCACTTCTAATCAATGAGATCTGTCTACCTACAATATTTCATGTTGAAATCTCTCATAATCCAGAGTTATGTTCCGGAAAAACTTCAAGGTGTTAAAATGAACAAAGGGCAATTACTCTAAAATTAGGCAAAAAAGAGATATGCTTTTTGTGCACTGAACATCTATCTATTGAGATCTATTTACCTACAAAGTTTCATATTGATGTCTCTGTTCTCTTAGTTTTAGAGTTATGTCCGAGACATTTTCTATAAAGGGAGATAATTAAAAAAACGTGCAAAATAGATTTATGATTCTTTAACACTGCACCCCCCTCAATGCCTTCTACCACTGTGTGAAGTTTAAACAAATAATCTCCAAGGGTTTTCAAGTTATGCTCCGAACAAGACAACGGACGGACGGACGGACGGTGGGACAAGGTGGCGACTATATGCTCTCCCTTCGGAGAGCATAAAACAATTTAAAAATGATATTGACCGACCTTGTTTCCGAGTTATATGTCATTGAATTTGAAAAGTTTCCATATTTCAAGAACAGCTTGTTTACTTTAAACATCAGCTGATTAGCAATGCCGCATTTTTTTCTATCTGACTTCCATTCGAAGTGTTGTAAAAACTTTAGTAATGGATAGTGTCGTTTGTTGAATTGTTCTTCTTTCCTTAAAGCTATGCCAATTAGTGGCCTGTATTTAAGGAAATTTTAATCTCTGTACATAAAACGACTACAACTGTTTTAAATGAAATTTCGTTAAATGTTGTATAGTACATGTAAACAAGGATAAAATAAAAAAAATATATACCGATGTGTGTAAGACATCTAGATGATCTCTACTATTTTTAACTGATCCACATGGCTTAAGTTAGGAAACCACCATTTTCTTTTCTTTATAAGGAGAAAAGTTTGTTCTTGTGACTGTTAAGTGTTTTCATTTTGAGAACATTTACAGAATAATGAACGAAGAAATGAACATTTTGCGTGTGTATTCCTTTCAATTTGTCAAAAACACGAATGAGATAATTTTCTTGTAACAGAATGACGTGTGTTTGTTTTGGGTGTAAATAATGATAAATTACATTTTACTTTGGATATGAGATAAAAAAGATATGAATAATACAAGCTTAACAACGTGCTAGTTATCCACTTTAGAATATTTCACTTATTTAAGACAAACTATGCTCTGTATCATTTATTAACACGGGAAGTGCGTATATTGTATTACCAAACTCTTCTTTATATTAAATAACACCAAAGCCAGTCATTCTCCTGACAGAAATAAGTCCTTGAGTTGTGAAGTTCACTTTTAAGAGCTTCTTTTAACACGATTTCCTGTCAACGAAACCAAAATATCAGCGAGATATATCATAATGTTTCCTTAGCAAACATATTGCCTGCTTAAGATTGCAAATATTCTCTGTATCATTGATCCTTTTAGAAGTGGTTAAGACAAATCTCACAACCATGATACATTGTTACAAAATGTTGACATTTATGTATCATCTGAACATTTTATGTCGATATACAAGAGCAACGATCTTCATAGAGCAGAGCAGCATACATCTTTTCTTCAGTTATCTGGTTTAAACCACTCTTTTCGAGCATGAGATTAAGTAATCTTTTCAAACAATACCGAAATAATATCTTACATACACTAACGCCACAAATTTGATCCATATCAGTTTATAAATATTTTGACAAAACGGCACAAATCCGTAAGCAGCGTAATGACGTCATCCTAAGTAAACAACTCATTCATAAACAAGCTGACGTTATTTCATACATACAAGAATGATAAATGGGCACTTATGTAAACACAACATGACGTAAGTTTTTTTATTGTTGAAAACGTGATAAAATAATTTGTTTTCTTATTTTTTTTGTTTAATAATTTCTATATCTTTGCAACAGTAGGGTGCAAAAATCGAACAGCGTTATACGAAAATCAACAACTAAACGGAAATTATTTCCGCCTGAAAAATAATATTAGTGATCTTCCTTATTTTATCGTGTTAGAATCGAAATAACATTGGCCTGACAGGTGTATATCAGCTATTTAACACATGTTTTGTCGTTTTGATGCGAAAAAATTAACCACTCAGGCCTACGGCCTTCTTGATCAATTACTAAGCATCAAAACTCCGAACCGGTGTTAAATAGCCAGGCCGATGTTGTTTCTTAACTCTTATACAGATACTTGAGACTGGGGTGATTTGTGAGTCACACTGTTCCTTCCCTTTAAACATTGTTCTGGTTTGAAATGAAGACATTTATCTTCGTTTTGGCATATATTCCGTGGTTTGGAAAGTGGCTCTGTCAAAGAGGCATATGCATGTCCTCTAACTGATGTGTGTATTGTTTATCAAAGCGTTCGAAGTACTTATTAAAATGGGTCTTGTTTAAGTTATTGGCACGTTGCCGTCAGTTGAGCCAAATGTTGCTTTCTTTTATGGCCCACTTAGATTATTTGGATGTAATAGAGTTTGATCTTTGACCTGACCACTGCCCTGCTATATTCCAATGCTTTACAGAGTAAAATACACAACAAGAAGTGCCTAATATATTTAGGTAATATCATCATCTTTGACTTTTCATTAGACTTCCTTTTCTTAAGTTTTGAAGCTGATTTTACCGTTAAGATCTAGTCAACCTCAAGTTAAAGGTTAAAGGTATTTTTTTCAGACTTCGAGGAGAACGAGGTTGTTGGAACTAACTTTCTCTTTTTCATTTAATTGAGAAATTTTTGAGACTTTTAGATATTTATGCAACAGTCCCTTAGTATAACACAATCTTAAGAACCTACATTCAAGGCAACAATGCCAGATTGTTAACATTTCAATCTGTTACATTGCAAATAAATATACTATTGTTTAAATGTAGCCTTAGATAGTGTTATCAAACTAAAAGGTTATATCAAAGTATTTAAGATACCAAATTCATTTAAAGCAGTAGTATTATGACGGTGTTAGTGTAAAGTATCTTTCAGTTCTTCATACTGATGTATTTTGAGATAAATTGTATTGAATTGATCAATTTAGGGTAAAAATGTTAATATGTAAACGTGTAATATATCGTTTTCATAGAAAGACCGAATTAAAGTTATTTTTTTCCGGAAATTTCTTTGTATGTAAATAAATGATGTATTGATGAACCTGTTAGATTATTTTATACTTTATTTTCATCAAATTAATTCATTTATACTTTATATTTGTCATTTACGTAAGAGTGTGACAGAACAACAATTTGAGTACAATCCTGCTTTAGAAGATATCTCATTATTACTGTTTTACACCGGGTATGGCATATAAATGAGAAGAAATATATTATTTTTTCTTGTCGTATAATACGCAACAAAGCTTTAATTTTACAACTTATCAGTAGAATCAAAATTGTTGATTACAATAGATTTAAAGGGTATAAATCTATATCTTATGAAACGTTTTATAAAATTTATCAACAGTAAAGTTATATTCGTTTCATTATTATATGGTTGATTCCCGAAAAAGTTGTAACATAGAATGTTTCTGTTATTTAACACACGTGGGATATTGTATGTAAACAGAATAAAATGTTCCGGAACAAAATATTTTCTGCTATTTTAAGTAGGCTTTCATTTGTTAAGCAATTATTTTATGCACGCGTCATTCGCTTTGAAGGCAATTATCTACCATGTTTATTTCATACAAACATGTTGGAAGTATTTTTTTTTAATTCAAACAATAATTTTTGAAGCAGATATATAGCTTTATACCCTTTAAAGTGACATTCTGCACATTATCCATTGTCAAGTTGATTGACTACCTGTTGATATTCAAAATGTTTAAGGCACAATATAAATCAGCCTAAACAATAAAGAGTATGTCCCACTCTTTTTATGAATTGAACGTTACTGGAAATTTCCTATGGATATTTATAGAAATTTCCGTGGTGCATGTGAAGTAATTTATAACACTGAAGGAATAATGGCAAAATGTGAACTTATTCACCTGTTCACCCACTATATATTCTTGAATCGACATAATTTCTCTTAAATAAGAGATTTGATGCGAAATAATAATGACACTTCTAAGCAAAATGTTAAAACCTTCATCAGTTATTTAGAAGCGATTCGATTTGTGTTAAAAGAACAAAACAAGATGATATTCATATTTCAAAGAATACATTTTAAAGCATGTAATAAACAATATCATAACAAGCTAAAAATAGTTTGTACTTAGTAAAATTTAACTTATATTTGCAGGGCGTATAGACTTTTAAAAGATGGAGGTATCAGGAAAGAAACTTTGTAAACCATGCTTGAAACAAAAATCATCGACATACACAGACCGGTTCTGTTTACATTGTGAAGAAGAAATGTGTCAAAGTTGTTTTGATACTCACGTACAATTCAAAGTAAGTCAGGAGCATAGACTGGTTAAATCATTTGAGATTCCATTAAAAGCAGAAACACCTACGTTGGATATCAAGCGGAACACCAAACAGGAGTAAGATGCCATATTTGAATACATGTGCTTGTTATGTTTTTATGATGATGATGATAATAACAATAAATGTACAAAACTTGATGAACAATACTTAATGAAAAAAAAAAAAAAAAAAAAAAAAACAAAACAAAAAAAGAAAAAAACACGCACAGGCAAAAAAACAAAAAACAAATTTCATTTTCAGACATTCGCCTATTCAAATAATTATATTTTTCAATTATATCTTTACAAATCTTAGTTTACTTAAATATTTATCATTAGTTTTAATTACGTATTGCTTAACTAAAACTTGCATATATTTAGCAATGTGCAACTCATTAAATCGCTGGACGATCTTCAAAGACGTTACGACAAACTGGAACGGAGATTCCATGAGGAAGTACGCTTAAAAGATGATGCCCTACAAAGGTGATTTTTTATTATGTGATTGAAATAAATTTTGGAAAATGTTTGAAAATTGTTTGAAAATTGTCAGTTTGTCCTGCAAATGGAGCCGTGATTTTTGGCATTCCACTTTTCTAATCGGAAATTATTTCGTTCACAAAGTAGAATGGAGTCTAGTTACATTTTAAATGGTGCTGTAATTGTAGATGTAGATTAGAAATGTTACAAAATATTAATTTGTAGTTTGCCTCTTAGATTTGAGCTTACCTTCTCTATGACATTACAAAACAAATTATAAAAATAAATTGGAACTTACATTTAAAAAAATATTTAAAAAATTACGTTACTTTCATTTCCAATAGAGATAATAATACTAATGAAAAATACCAATGACAATAATAATATATACAAAGAAAACTACGTCTACACAAGGTATAGAAACTATCGGTGCAGCTAGAGATATCACATTAAGTGATTACCAATCTATATCAATGTTTTTAATTGATAATGAGAACTAAACATTTCATTTTTGTTTGAAACATACTGTATAAAAATATTTAATGATATACACAATGTTTATAAAGCAAAAGTATAAGAATTAAAATTCATAAAAAGTGCACGTTGAATGTTGCAGTGTATTGTTCTTTAAACATTGTTTTTTGTTAAATATTTTACAAGATGGAAACTGATTTACAGTTTGCGGTGCAATCTTAATTATTTAAATGTTTTGGACAGGCTAAGTAAAGTTGCGTCGTCTCTATTACGTGATAATAGTGCGGACATAACTGATCTCAGTGACCAAACCAGGCCTACAAAAGTGGCTGAGAAATTGTCCGAGATGTATGACAACCAATGGACAGATGCGTTTGACATTTTAGAACAGGAAATGGAAGAGAAACAAGTGATTCATACATTATTAAACACTTTAATGGTAAACAAAATTCATGATTTTATGTACTTAGTTAAATATTTCAAAATAAATTATACCCATATTTCATTTTGTTTTTTGAAAAAATATATCTATTATATATTTACCTATTATCGCAATTTATATATGAATTATCATATATATGATCTTGTGTTTTGCAGATGGCATATGCTACGTGTCAGGAACTTTCGAGCAGAAATTTCTTCGAAAGGGTCCAAAAAGCTATTGAACTACCGACAGAGGTATCAATATTATAAAATTCAGTTTACATTTTAACGTCAGTTGTTTAGCCCGAAAACCCTCAACAAAACGGTTCTATCCTTTATTAAACTTTCTAAAATAAGCATGATATTTTTTCTGGTTTCAGAATTTGCACATAATTTTACTATCATTTCTGGCGAGTTCATTATAATTCAAATTATAATTTCACTGACCCACAATGAAATATATTTAGTGTATGTAATTGAGGTACATATTTTAGTAGCATATCATTTATTATTGCTAGTCTGTTTGTTTTAGGCAGCTGAACTATCGAATACCAAAGTTGTCTTATCAGACCAGCTTAAACAAGAAATAAAGGAATTCCGAAAGAACCGTGCCCCATTTGTTATACGTGATGTTGTAAAGGTATAATGAATTAATAAGTAGTCCCTCTCTGTGTTTGCTAACTTGAAATAATCAAAGCACTGAATGTACTGATGGGGAGGCTATGACAAAATGTTTCAGACTTATAGTTTCTTTTCTTTTTGCTTAAAATGTGCTGTTATTTCAATTATTACCAAAATAAGAAGATATGCACATTGCGCCATTTATCCTTACTGTTGTGTTCAACCATTCATATATATGGTTTATATGGTTGACTATTCATTTTGTTAATATTCCAGAACATTTCATTGAGGTCTACATTCGGACTGTTAATCATGCAAATTTTGAAAAACCTAAACTGCCATTTATAAATGACATACCAGCAAGTATGACGACTGTTCATTATAAGATCATAATACCATTTTACAACTGACGGTTCCTTATCAAAATATTCTAGGACTGTTCATCATAAATACTTTATGTCATTTTAATATCATTGAATGATAATAACAACTGCAAGTTATGCAACATTTTTATTGAACATAAAAAATATACTTATTTACATGTACCATAATTAAGATCAATAAGACACCACTGTCTTGTGATGAGTATTAATATTCATGCTCTACGGACAGAAAGTTGTCTTCTCCCGAAGCAAATCTCGAATAAAATCACGTTTCAGAAAATTATTCCCATTTCATTACTCGTCGCTGACTTTGACGGCTTCGGATAATATTAAAGCTAAATATTTCTTGAAAAAATACATATCTGCAAAGCTTATTCAAAATTGAATCAACCTAAGTGAAAATTGATCAGGAAGTTATATCTTCTTTTTTACCGCCAACACTCAACCAACTTATGGTAGTTAATCGATAGATTCTACATGTATTTTTAAACCTCACTAGCTTGAAATATATACTGCGGAAAATCTGTTGTTCACAGAGTGTGCGGTTATTATGTAGGGTTTTCCTTGTCGACCATTTCCCGCAAATAGATGAGAACATCGAAGCGTCAGTGCTATGAATGGTGTTATAAATAGCGTGTTTTGGAAGTTTTTTTATTGAAACTTCTCCAAATCCCTCCAGAGGCATGCATGTCGCGGAGAAGGCACACGGCAGGTCAATGTCAAGTCATCTTAAGTACCAGAGGTGATTGGTTGACCTGTCGAAACTTACTCTGGAGGTTTGGTGCTAATAAATGCCGTTTCTGTTGTCGTCAGTCAGGAAGTTGATGCCTTGACAGTATTGTCGTCTCCTTTACTACTAACGAACGAAGAATGGGCTACCAGGAAGATTCTGCTTGAAAAAGACGTCCCCGATGCTATAATCTTGGACATATGGTTATTCCGGCGCCGAGTATAAATGAACTTAAAACACACACACACTTTTGTTGAAAAAAAAACAAAAACAAAAAACAAACACATTTGCTGTAGTAATTTTTCAAGTGTTGTAAAATGAATACGAAATTCGTCTTATGCCGCCAATTATTTTTAGAACACAAACATATACATGTAAGTTCTTTTTATTTATTATATTTTTTTTAAGCTTCTTATTCTGTAATATTTTCATGTATCTCATAATCTGTATTGAAAATTTTATTACACATGGACTATCAAATTATGATTCGTTGCCCTAGAATTGAATAAACTTTCTAATTACACAATACGGGGTCATTCATTTGATTGAAGACTGATCTTTGCGTCTTTCTCTGAAATACTATTTTCCTTGTTAAAACATATTTGACCACATATTTCTGTCATTTAACTCTTCACTTTACTTCCGATTTTTGTTGTACCGAAACACATGTTTCTATTTGTGTTTTCTATTCGAATCTATAATCAGTTTAATGAGATCACCGCCGGGTAAACGACTACTAGGTACTGTCATGTTTTTTACCCCAAATATTTGAATGTTTCTATTGGGATTAAAATGAGCGTAGATAACTTAACAACTAGTTGTATAAATCCCTGCCCTGTTTAATTCTAATTATGAGATTAGTGGATATATTAAGACTTTCACTACAAAATATTCCTAAACAAAAGAGCACATGTTTAAATTTATTCCTATACAAATAAAAGATCAGAGTAGGGATCTGTCAATTGCAAGACATATTTTTAAAAGATACTTTTATGTTAAAAGTTTGATTAATGAATTATGTAATATGAAAATATAATTATTGCTTTTTTTATTTTGCTAATATAAAATGTAATCTTGTGGTGAAATTTTGTCGAAGAGTCCTTACGGATATTGTAGTTAAATAGTTTTTTTCGGCGATACATGGTTTAAGAATATAATGTTTTCAACCTATATGTTCATCCCCATCAGTGAATTTTTAGTTAAATGTATGCAACATATTTACTAACAGCTATATGATATAGCGGTTTATGAGCGTTTTCCGCGTACAGCCTCCTAAGGTGTACTAATAAGTTAGTTTTCCTTAGTTATCACGCAAGCATGATCCAGGTCTCTGATGTAAGCGACAGTTTACCATTATTTGTATTAAAAAATATTAAGAACTATAAATGGTTTATAACAACAAAAGAACATGCATGATATTGAGACTACGGTGTTCAACGTTCTAGTTAATGACCCGTCATAAACAGTTGGTCGCTGCGTAGTAATTGGAAAATTGTTATCAAAAATAATAAAGAATATTTGCCACTAATTAAAGCATTTACCTATAAATTTTCATTTATGCTTTTTTTAAAAAAAGTATTGATAAAGTTATTATGTAGAAGGGTTTTCATACCAGAACTATTTATGACCAACGTACGTATGCCTAAACCTGATTACCGCGGCAGTATGACGTAACGGAGTAGTGATTTTGAAAAAATAAACAAACAAAAATCAAGAATTTTTCAGAGAATTATTATATTTACAAATTGCAGATATGAAGTTAAAGAATGAAAATATTTTCATATTGTAAATGTCTGTGATGGCTGATGAGTCAGCTTAAAAAAATCAAGGTACTATTTTTTGACTGATTACCGCGGCAGTAAGATTTGACAAATGGTATTAACATTGGGGAGATAGCCTCCCCAAAATTGATTCATTTGATCATCAGTCAGTATTGAATGAACATTCTTTAATTGATTATGTCAGCATTTCAAATCGTAATTTAATTTCTTAAACGCAAAAATTTCAACATTAATGAAATGAATAGCTTACATGCAAATTCGAATTCACAAACAGTTTATTAAGATATATATTTTGTTGTTGTTGTTGTTTTATTTTAGTGTATACTCATCTTATAACGATAAATAAAAAACTAGAACAAGATCTCTGTTAAGAGTTAACATATTGATACATTTTTCAATTATTATAGGTTGTTCGACCAAGATTGCAGCTGGCTAAACATCACTCAAAAGAACTGCAAGAATATGTTACAGCATGCATAGAGATTGCATGTTTGTGCGCTGTGCAAGATCCCCCACTAGAGCTTGATGCAAAATTTACAGACAGATTTGATACCAACGTATTCAAAGATTTTACAATACGTGGAGAATTTGTTGACTTTATGGTATGGCCAGCAATGTTTCTTCATAAGGGCGGTCCTCTTCTTTCCAAAGGTGTTGCTCAAGGAAGATGTGATAATCAGCCTCGTGATGTACCTGATCGTCCTATTCCGGCTGAAACAAGAAAAGGTGGATACAACACCCAAACAGGCACATACACCCACAGACATTTCTCAAACCAACCAAGACAGGAAAATCAAGTAAACTATCGTGACCAACAATCCTATCAGAAACCGGACAATCATAAGCAACATCACTACAACAAATCTAAAACTATGTTTATGCCATCAAGAACAAGTGCAGCTATGGAGTATGGCCACACACGAAGGTATCCCACTCAATCATCAGACATTTAACATTGTCTTTCAAAACATAGTATATGTAGGAAATTTAGGCGTGCATTTGTTTTCAAGTTAATAGTAAGCAATAAAAATGAAGATAAAGTATGTAAAGGTACAGTTTATGTCATCGTATTAAAAGTATAACTATCAGTCGATCAATGTTGTTAGTCAGAGGTCGACGGCTAAAACTGAAGTACAAAGAAAGCAGTGTATTAAACACACATTTCATTGTGCTCAATGAATTAATTAAATACTATTTTTTCATGATTAACTTATATGTTTACATAGTTACTTAACTTGTATATAACTTACAAATATGTTTATGCAGGTTTCATAATTTTATGTATCTTATGTTTTTATTATGTATTTAGTTATAAAGAGCTTGTTTTATTTATTTATTTCAGTGATATTCATACCTACTAAATAGTACTTATATTCTAACTTATACCGTTAGTTTAATAAAATGTATTTTTCTTTTAAATTTCTATATATATGTATGCATCTTTCTATATATTCATATTGTTTTACAGCTTATGAAAAAGATGTATATATTTGTATGTAAACAGTTATGTAAACAGATGAATAAATAACGTAGAATCTATAGAAATTCTTAACTTTCTAAAATCGTACATAGATTTCATATTTAGTTCAATAACGATACATGTTTCAACTCTCATGCCCTGATCACAAAATATACTAAAAGATGGCAATCGATTAAAATATGGAGTTATGAATTGCATTTTTATAAATAATAATAATAAAATAATTCAATAAATATACACTATTAGAGTCTTAATTTTTATTAATTGTATGGTATTGTATTACTTTATTTTATATTTGATGCCATGAGGGAATAAAGCAAGTGATGGAAAAAGTAATGTGACCATGTATTTAAGCAAAAATAACTTAGATAGTGTTATCTTGTATACATTCTTAGAAACAAATAATATTCGCCCTAAAACATCAACATATTGGTCGTCAATATCTTAAAATAGAGAAAATAAGAATCCCTAAAGAAAGCCCGACACGGCAAAATTGAAATGTTACAGGCTCGGTTTGATTGAGCCTGTTCATGGACGCTACTGTCAAGTGCAAACTATCGTCCACGCCCTTTAGCACCGGCTTAAGCATAATTCAATATTTAACATGAATTGGTACAAATTTTAATTTTGAAACATCCGCAGATGTGTTCATGTGGCGGTTATCATGGAACCTTTAATGTGGCACGTAAGTGCCATTCCATGAAAAGCGGCATATGGTGCCAGTGCCCTAAACGAGAAAACAATGGGCGGAACTAAATAAAATGGAGTTTTGAAAGGGGATCAGAGGTTATGAAGTCTGTATATCATAGATAGGACGTCAAAAGACAAATTAAAAAAAAGCAGGCCACATATCCTAAGGGTGATTCAACAGTATTCAAGTGAGGAATACTGTAACCACCCAACACGAAAAATAGCCAAATAGAAAGAACTAAAAACCCAGGGCATTAATAATGTCGTGCTGAACGATCTTTCAGCCTCCACACGGCACAAACAACGCTGATGTGGCGATAAAATAGAGAAAATAAGAATCCCTAAAAAAAAGCCCAACACGGCAAAATTGAAAATGTTGCAGGCTCGGTTTGATTGAACCTGTTCATGTTTAAATCATAATCTAATATTATTGTCATAAAAGTATGAATAGCAAAAATAAAATTTACTCTTCTATATATACTATACTTTTAATAGTGTACATCTGTAACCTTGCATTTCATTGGTTAATCAGGACTTTTATATAAACTATATACACGGCTGCTATATATTTATGAGGCAATTATCTTTTTTTTTTCAAATAAAGAAAGTTTGATATTTTCTAAATTTGACCTTAAGTATCTCACATGTTATATGGCCATTTGCAGATCAGGTATAAATGCAATCAACCGTTTATATAGGGCAATATAACATGTCAAAATCTTTACAAGTAATAATATTTATACCAATCTAAACATAAAGAGATTCCACTGATGTTTTTTGACATGAAGAGACTGACAATACGTTTTCGTGATCTAGCCCTTACATTCGTGTGCAAAATTTAAGATAATTTGCATTCCATTATTCCAAAATAATCAATTACATTTTGCAAAATAACCTAAGGATTGAAGAGCGTTAAATATTAAAAAAATCGCACGAAGATAATAATGATGTTCACTTTAATTCTGAGTATATATCTTAATTATATTTTGACAATTTGCCTTTTTTAAGTTCAAAAAAGCTATTCGTGGGAAAATATCACACTTAAATTTATGTTTTTACTTTTGGACCTCAGCAAATCTCCTTTAAATATCGTTCAAAATTAAGATAAGTGTTAAGGTATGTCAAGTTTTTTGGCGATTTTGCAACGACATTATGAAAGTCTTATGTATAATATTCACTCAAGCTTTGTTTAAACTTATTATAAAATTTAAGCTATCGCCAATATTACGACAGATCAATATCGCGATAGAAAAACAATCTTGAAAAGACATTAAAATGATAATAGTTCTTTCAGCATAATATACAGTTTCTAAGACCTATCATATGACCTTGTTTTATCAATTTAGATCACTATTAACATGGATTATGTCAGAAACCTGTTTCAATGAAGGCAGTAAAGTTTTATACCCGAATAAACGATTCTGCATTTAATTTTAAAAAATAGTTCAAAAGAAAATTTTTGATTTCAAATATTGATTTTATTAAATAATAAACATTTGTTAATAAGTATTGTTTAAAATTTAATTTAAACAAAATAAGACTTGCAGAATTTCTAATTTCTAAAAGAATACTTTCAGGATCTCCCTACTAGAATAATAAATCGCCTGTTTCTTATTGCTTGTTACGTGTATTTAAAGCATGATTTCTTTTACCGCGTTTATCTCAGTGTATATTTCTTATTCAGAAATAACGGAATGAGATCAGAAATATTTGCTGGTGATAATATTTTTTTTGTTTATTTAGGAACGCCTTCTTTGACAAAAAAACAAGGATGAATATGCACCAGGTAGTATGATCCTCTGTTTTCTTATAGTGTGGTTACTATTAAACAGAGATATCAAAGATCAAGATATGCCTGCATGGTATAGTTTTGACAGGAGAGCAGGTGCCCTTCCGTGAATTATTTCAGGCACGAACGGGCACCTGAGTAGAACCATCGCCGTTCCGTTAGCTAACTGGATAGCTTCCTCACATGAAATAATCCAAAGTCTCTGTCGGGATTCGAACCCACAGCGGTGAGGGGCAAGTGGTTTGAAGTCAACGACCTTAACCACTCTGTCACGAACGCCCCGAAATATTTATGATGTCAGGTTTATTTGTGTCAATGACAAGACCAAAGGAATATTTTGTAAATAGTTTGACTAAAAAAATACATTGGTGTTTTTTTTGTGTTCGGGCGAATGTTAAGAGGAGAGTAATAACTCTACTATTTGCAAAGCATATTTGAGCCATGGCTCGGAGAAAGCAAGAATACCAAAATCTATGAGTTCTCGAAAAAGAATATCACGTTTCTGTTCTGTTGATATTTTAAATGCACGAAAGAAAGATTATTTTGAAAAAGATTAAAATCCGAAGAAATAAAGGTCGTAGATTAAAAACAGGTAGCTGAATTCGAACCGGGATTTGATTGAATATTTCCACATACATATAAGAGTACGGAACATGAGTTTACTGGAGGAGAGCAAATAATTCATTGAAAAGGGTTACTGCATAGAGTTACCACAGCCTTTTAGAGAATACATTAAGACCATTTGATGGTTATTTATTTTTTAATGTAATCTTAGTTCTCATGATGTTTCAAAAATTTCTAAAACAAATACGCACATCTATAAGAGATATCTGAATTTCATGGTTATTTGTAGTAAATTCCTCTCATATAAATAAAAACGAAGTTATAAAATAAATATAAAACGGAATTATATTGAGATACAATTATAACAAAATACAATAAAAATGGCATGAAAAAAGGCATACAATATATAAATTTCGTACTAAAGTCTTTTATTAATTTGAAACAGCAAACGAAATTCTAAAATTGGATGCACAGGATTATCTAAAATATCATCAAATAATCTCAGCTATCTCAAAGAGCCTTAAAGAAAACATTTAAATACATTTTCTCTATGGAAATAAAGAAGATGTCTTAATAGAAAAACTGAAGATTAAAAACAGTTTTGTATAAACTTCAAATGAGTGCAATAACTGTTGAAAAACCACTGCATCCATCAAATGGGAACGCATTTTTAATGACAATGAAATAGATTTTAAACCAATATCTAATATACCTTTTAAGTCTACAATCGACACCAGTCTTCGTAGTTTTCAATACAAATTCTTTTTGCGTTTGGTCCCAATAAATAAATCTTTAAATTATTAAATGCAAGTTATCATCAAACAATTTGTGTGATTTTTGTTCTTTGGAGATAGAACCTTTTGAACATTTTATATGCGAATGTCAATTTACACAAGTTTCCTGGAACAAAATCCAAACATTTTTTATCTTAAGGTTATGAAATACCTTTAAGCTTGAGACAGGTGTGTTTCGGTATATTATGTAAACATAACACTGTAACTTTTGTCATAACTCTGTGTAAATGCTTCATATTTTGAATGAAATATTAGAAAAGATATAGCCACTTTTGAAAACTGTATGCCATTTCTATCTTATAGGATTAGAATAGATAAAGAAATATCGTTAATACATGAAATCTACAACATTTTGAAGAAAAATGGTAAAATTTCAATTAAATTTTTACGGTCCAAAAAACCCCACACATATTAGACATATAAACATGCATTTACACACAGAAAAGGAAACAATTTTCAATTCTTATTCCTTTTAATCTATTCCTTCTGTTTCTATTTTTAAAATATTTCTTTTACTAAGTATTAGCTTTTGTCAAATATCATTAAAATGTTATTGTTTCTACTATTGTTTAATAGGGTCATATCTCGACACTATCTTTTCTCATTGCATTGTTTTTCTTCTTTTATTTTTAACTTATCTTTCCTTATTACAAACTTTTGTCTCTCTCTATCAGCATTTTATTGTACTATTAACTTATTATTTAATTAGATCTTAAGATTCAAATATATTTGTCATAGTTTTTAATTTTTTAAATTGGTCTGAAATTATTCTTTTATGTATTTAGTTACTATGATTGTCTGTTTGAATATCATGATTGAAAATAAAAGATAAAATTGTTTTGCTTTCTGATACATCAAACTTGATGAGAAATCAAAACACAATTTGTGCTTTCTTGATAAATTAGAAATTAATTACATACTGTTCTCAGATGTGTGTTAACATGTAATGTTTTCAGTTATTTCGCTAAATATACAGAAACCTAAAAACTAAGACAAAATGAACTTACCATTGTCCGCCATCAAGGAGATGTTTTAAGTAGATATAGTATGCACGTGGAAAAATACGCAATTCATAAGTCAATTGTAATAAATCTAAAGTAAAACTTAAAAGTAAAATCAAAAAGTCAATAAATCCCGAAGTCGAAATTCAAAATTGGCCCTCCAGGGCTTCCATAATTTCATATTTTTAGCTTTTCATATACATTGAAGAAAATAAAGTCTATATATACCTACACGTTTATCAGATAACATGTACCATACAATAAGTATTGATAACGATTATCAAGGAAAGTCTGATATTATCATACAATGCAGGAATAAGTGTAAGTGAGAGAGAGGCCCACAGACATAAAGAGGTGATGGGATGTACAATTTGTAAAACACGGGTACTGAGATAATAAGCATTAGCAGTATTGATGTGATTATGCAGTTTATCAAAATTACTTTGTCCTTATAAGTCGTAATATAAGGTCCTACTAAACTTAACCCATAATATACTTCCCTTCACAGTTGAAGCTAGCTTAACGTTTGCAGTCGTGTTCGCCATACATTCAGGCACACATGATACAGTCTGTTTGTCAGATGAATTGAAGTTGACAACCATAGATGTTTATACATTATATACTTCATTCTTGCTGCTGCTTTTGATTTCTTTATATTTGCAGTTGTTTATGTTTGGTACCAAACGACCAAAATAGAATGCAGCCATTTTTCGACTGTTTTATTTACTAAAAATAATTGGTAGAAGCTTTCGACGCAGTGTTTTATAAACTAAAAATAATTTATTTTAATTTTTGTTAAATATTGTTATAAACATGTAATTGCAAAGTTGCTTGTTTTTACTCCGTCACAACTTTGTTTATTTGCATGTAATCGATATCGTCGACTGTCAGACAAATATCTATAATTGTTTTGTTCATTGTTTTTGTGAATACGTATTTGTTCTTGATTATTGATCTAATCGCTAAACCTTAAGATATTACATTCTTTAATATAGCTAAATTGTAAAAATCAATATTTTTGTCAAAAAAGGTTCACAAAAGGTAATAGAAACTAGGATCTTAAATATCAATTCATTTGAATGGTTTAAATATATAACGCTGTCAATAAGCAAGGACTAGTTATTGACACGAATTTTATCATATGCGTTTGACGTGATTTCAATATTTTGACATAACAAATTTAAAGTGTTTACAACAAGTGATTATATGGTAGTATACTAAATAAAATCCACAAGAAAGGTAAGAAAAGTTTATAAATTAGCTTAAAATCGTACTAACTTTTCTAATTGTGAAGGTCATTCTTCGCAAATAACTATAATCCGTAAATAAGATTAGGTAAATATAAATAAACTTTAAAATGTCTATTAATTATGTCAAGACCACGCAAGATTGTAAATTGTATCAATTTCTACAATAATCGTGTATTTTTTTAGTGATAACATATATGAACTTCTATTATTAATATGATTCTGCAAAATCTGTAACCATTTCAAGACCTCATTTGGCTTTTCTAAGTTATTAGGCCAAACAATATACCGTGTACCGTTTCCGGTATCCCGGCCGACCCTCTTTATTTCTAGCCGACTCTAAATTTTTGTTTTACCTTTCTGCTTAAAAATATTCACTTTTTTACTTTTCGCGAATTAGATTGTATTACATCACACATTTAAGATGGCAGCGTCTGTGAATTAACTGTATCAGTGCTGCAATACGGTTGAAAGCATGTTGCCACAGACCAACAGTAATAATGTTGCAACCATACCATTGAGTTAATTAGTTTATTTATACGGGACATATTCATCAATATCATTGGCCTATTGATGAAGACTAAGGCATCAGGGATACAGATCTGTTGTAGAACAAATATTGTAGATAATCATCTGAACTACTTGATAATGACGGTAATATATTTTTGGCTGATACATGTCAGCGCTTTTGTATAAAATTTATGGAATAATAATTTATGTTCTCAAGGCAACTCATCTTGAATCTTTTAATCTTTCCGTCATACTGATATAAATCCAGAAGTCTTTTGATTGCTTATGACGCAAATTTTCTATTTCCTTCATGTTCTTTTGTTCAATAACACGTTTTCACCTACACACATTACTTTTAAATATTATTTAACTATGTAGAAAAATTTGTAAATTGTGGGCTAATGTAATCTTTGTTTTAGTTTTGTAATGCTAAAACAAACTCATTATTTTTCACAACACAAGTTTGATAAAACCAATCACTTTTCTTTGATAAGAACAGAATAGAACATAACATACATTTTATTACGACTTGTCCAAAGTACATTATCTGCAATGCATTATATACGCATATACGTATATAAGCTGGATGAAATTTAAAAACAAGTATATGGATATCACATATTACGTATACAAATAACAAACAAACAAACAAACAAACAACAAGCATATAGCTATGCATTTACTGTTTACGTTAATAAATAAACAAGATTAAATATGAATAGTTTTGAAATGGAAACAAAACATTTTGAGAATGAACATTGATGTTAATTTCAGACATTAGCAGTTGAAAGTACATACCTAATTAAAAGAGCTTTTTTTAACAAATTTTGATAAACCGTACAAGCCCATTTTTATTTTTTGAGTTTGATAAATAAGATAATTTGTTTATTGATAGATTTCTGTAATAGTAAGCCTTTACGTGTTATTTTCTTATAACGTTATAGCACTTACATAAACACATAAAATGGTATTCATTTGTAACACTAAATTACTGCAACAAAAACAATAGTTTTCTTCACAAGCAATTCTTTTTTTTACAAAATCTTCCAGTTTGAATTATAAGCGGAAGACAACTTATTCTTAATGACGGAAGACAACTCATTCTTAATCTACAATAATGAAATATAAAACACCAAGGTAGTTTATTTAAATAAAGTTCATATTCGAGCACTTAACATTTCTATATATACATAACTGAACTATTCCTGTTTGAAAGTTTTCATTCGGATATAAACATAACCTTGTCTATATTGTCACAATTATGAAAAATGTATTCAAATCCATAATCATTTAAAATAGTTTTAACATTAGAAACCCAATTTGTCTGCCCGTTATTTCAATCTTAAATTGCTTGAGTGTAAACTGTTTTTTAATAAAATATTGTCTTTATTTCCCAAACTTTATAATTCTTACATATCTATGAATTTATAGTAGATATCTTCAAAGTTCACCATAAACACTAGTATTACAGGTATTTAACCCAACTTTTAACAACCTTTTACAAAATTTTAAATGTATTTTTTTCAATTTCCTAAGATTAAGAATAACTCCAAATTTCACTTTAATGATTTCATTAATATTGGTTAAACGAAGGCAACAAACAACTGACATTATTGTGGACTAAGATTATACTATACATTTACATACATCATGTTCATTGATTTTAAAGCCTTTCCAATCAAATGTTCTTGATAAAGAGAAATTTAACAGTATAATTAAAAATAGTACCTAGATAATTGAAATCATTCGCAGCTTCGATTTCATGACCATCATAGGTCCAATGCTCAGATGCTAAAAGTGCACCCATTTTACGAAATACCATAATGATTTTTTTAAGTTTTAACTTTAATGCCCCAAGCATTACAATACGATAGTAAGGGATTCAAAAGAGTTTGAACTTTAGTTGGATGTTTACCTATGATAGCCATATCATCAGCAAATAATAAAAGAATTAAAACTATGTCATCGAAAGTAAGACCTGCTTCAGTTTCAGACTGGATATATAATTCAAGGTCTTCAAAAGAGAAAATAAAAGAGGGGACATAACTCAGTCTTAACGAAGACCTACAGCATACAGAAAATAATCAGAATAGCTACAACTTGACTAAACACATGATGTTACTTTTTTGGAATATATCACGTATTATACTGAGTTTCATCTCTTGAATTCCGCATTTAAACAATTTAAACCAAAGGCCATCAACTGAGTCAAAACATTTCATCATATCAACAAATATAACATACAATAATATATTTCCATTTTTAATTAATATTTTTGAACCATTCAATTAAGAATGAAAATAGCGTCAACAATAGATGTTCTCTTACGAAATCCGACTTGTGTGTCAGAAATAGTTTCGTGTTCGTTAAAAAAACGTTATCGATTCGTCTATCTATAAAAATGTAGTAAATAATTTGATTGTGACAAGCAACTTACAAGTGAAATGCCTCTGTAATTATTGACGTCATTTCGATTCCCTTTGTATGCAGAGGGATAGTTATACCTTCGGTCCATTTATCAGGAAAACAGTCCGAGTTGGAAATACAATTAAATAAGTTATAATTAAAGGACGATAAAATACCAATACTTTCTTTAAAGTATTCGTTCAATAAATAATCATTACCATAAGCTTTATAACGCTTCAGTGATTTAACAACCGATCAATTTTCAAAACAAGTAATCGGCTAGTGTTATTCAGAAAGACTTTCATTAGTAATTGTAAAATAATTATTTTCACAAAACTCCTCAGTTTCAGCATTGTAACACACAAAAGTCATTACTTAAACTAGAAAATATTCTCTAAATTGTTATAAAGTTATGTTATTGTTCACATTTCCTGCCTTTTCCCCCCAAATATTTCCAATTATCTTTCGGCTTACTCTATTACAATTTTTTTATTTTTTGTATTATTTTTATTTCTATAGAACAATTTTTTTTCTTATTTTTTGTGCCCCCACTTAAGTGGGGGGGGGGGACATTTAGATTTACCCTTGACCGTCCATCCGTCTGTGATCGTTCTCTTTTGTGTCGCACGTAACTCAAAAAGTATTTGACATAGAGTCATGAAACTTTATAGAAAGGTTGATCAGCATGTGTAGTTGTGCACCTGGGTATTTTCGTGTGGACTTATTCAGTATGTTTAGAGTTATTGTCCTTGACTTAGTAAAAATTTGCAATTTTCAACTTGTGTCGCATGTAACTCAAAAAGGGTTTGACATAGAGTCATGGAACTTTACAGGAATGTTGATCAGCATGTGCAGGTGTGCACCAAGGTATTTTCGTGTTGATTTATTTAGTATTTTTAGAGTTATTACCCTTGACTTAGTAAAAATTTGCAAATTTCAACTTGTGTCGCATGTAACTCAAAAAGGATTTGACATAGAGTCATTAAAACCTTACGGGAATTTTCCTCAGCATATGTAGTTGTGCACCTTGGATTTCGCTTGTGGATTTATCCAGTGTTTGTAGAGTTATTGCCCTTGACTTAGTATAAACCGTTTCATGTTTTTATGTTATTTGTTCCTTGAGTGCTTGAATTAGAATCAATCACCTTTACAGGAATAATGATCAACATTTGCACTCGTTTCATAACACATAGTCTATCACAGATAAACCGTTATGAGATAAAAACTATCTATTGTGGCCCTGCAAGAGGTCCTATCGGGTTCAAAATCTGTGTCATCAATGTTTTATATAATTTTCTTGTAAAATAGTTTTCGAATGACGTGCGTTTGTTTTTGGCGTAAATAATAAAAAGAGTTTGATATTTTGGATACGAGATAAAAAGATAAAGATAATATTATCTTAAAAAAGTCCTAGCTATCAAACTTAGAATATTTCACTTATTAAAGACAAATTGTGGTGCTTTGTCTAAACTCGGAAAGTGGGTAAATTCTAATACTTAACCCGCCAATACATTTTTTATAACACCAAACCTAGTCATTTCCCACACAATAATAAGTCCTTGAGTTGTAAAATTCACATTTGATAGGGATTTATACACGATTTCCTGCTAAAGTAACCAAAATATCATCAAACCAGACCTATAGTTATCTATCCCAAGCAATCATATTACTAGTTTAGGGGCCAGTTACACAGACGGTCGGTCCCCAATCGGTCATTAAATTTTAAATTTACTCGCTGTTTTGATCGGTTGTCATGCGTGATTTTATTTCTGGTTTTCTGTGTAAACGGCCATCAGTGACAGAAAGCAAACTCAAACGGGGTTAGATCGGTGATAAAATGCTGTAATACTATCGGTTTTTATCGTTTGTCAATCGGAGCTTAATTTGTCGTAAAGCTGATTAATCGGTGTTTGATAGGTAGTCATCAGTGGTTAAACACTTTCCGTCAGATATGGCCGATGATTCATATTTGGTTATCTTTGTACGATCGGCGATATCGGTGATTAAGAGCTTGCATATCTCGTGATATAGGTTGCTGTCGGTCATTTGTATTCACCGATCGAGAATTTTAAACAT